GAACTTTTAATCTAATGGATGGATTTATAAAATTCATATTTAATATAAAATTACTAAGCTGTAATATTTAGTAAAAATTTCACCGATATCGTTTGAACTCTTCCTTATAAAAGAACTTATTTCATTATTTTTTTTATCTTTTTAAGTATTTTTTTGGAGAAATATATAAAACCGTAAGACTAAGAAGACAAATCCAAATTAAATTTATATGAATAAGACAAATCATTGATCGGTCAAAAGCAGAATAAAGTGTTAGCGTTAAATTTATTGGAAAAAAAATACATTTTTAAAAGAAAAATTGTATTTATTTATAAAATAAAGTGTATATATATATATATATATATATATATATATATATATATGACTTGACCAATAATAATTTAAATTGAATAAAAGTTAGTATTTTAGTTTACATGATAAATTTTTATTTTATATGATAAAGTATTATAATGAACAAATATTTTTATTACGTAAGTTCTATTTTAATTTTATGATAAGTAATTTATATTGTGATAAAAAAATTTAACTATCAATATTTTTTTTTAAAAATATTAAAATTTAAATTAAAAAATTAAAATAAGACTTCCTTTGTATATATATAAGGACTATCTAGAACGTTTTTAACAGAGTTTTTTTTAATGATAACATTTTTACGAATTTATTTCAACTTTCTATCTATTTTTAATTTGTCTTTTTTATTTAACTATCATACAATTTACATGTTGAAAATATTTATTTATTATAAATTATAATTATATAAAATAAATATTTATTTTGTGCACTACACAATCTAAAATAATTATGATCCACGTGGCATACTTATCATTAGCATTTTAAAGAAAAAGCTCTCGTTGATTTATAGTCTTTATAAATATTTTATTCAAAAAATACTCTAATTTATATGTAAAAAAAACGATAGAGAAATTTATTATTGTTGATTGATAAATTTTTAAAAGAATATTACATTCAATTGAAAACATATATATATAGAGAGAGAAAGTAAAAAAAAATCTATCAAATTTCATGTGATTAATTCTTATTTTATATGCCAAAATAAGTTGAGATGACTTTGTTTTCTCCAGTCTTCTAGACAACTAGTAAAATTGATTTAATTCGTGATTTATCTTTCAAAATAAATTTATTTTAACATATACATCAGAAGCTTATTGCTATAGATATTGAGTTTAACTAGTTGAGTAGTTTAAAATTTAAATGAAGCGAGATTTACAGCAGGTTGGTAATTATTATGTCTTATTACTGTCATGTAAGCAGTGATGATGAAATGCTGCAAATTGCAATAATCCAACGTACGAGGGTTGTCAGTGGCATAGAGTGTGTCCACGTGGCATATCCTAAAACCTCACACAGCAGAAAAAAGGTAAACAGCTTCATGTAACTGTTGTATCAGAACGTCTGGTTCTGCAACTGCACCCCAACTCCTATCTCTCTCTCTCTCTCTCTCTTCCTTTTTCCCATTTTTCTTTTTTGCTTTGCTTAGTGGATCACAGTCGCACCTAACCAAACCAAACTGGTATGCTTCACTTCTCAATTTCCTTATACCTTGGAAATGAACTCTTCATATCTATTAAGAGATAAGATAGGACTACGACTGTGTGTAGCTATTAAAAACATGTTTCCTAGTTCCACGCCCTAATGTCAAGCACTAGCAGGAATTAGTGTGACTCTATTCTTACCATCATATTATACAATCTGTTGTCTTGTGTTTGGATATGCAAACGATTTTTTTTTTTTTTATTACCTGGACTAGAGTTTGTTATTTTCCTTGCTTTTTATGTTTTTGTGTAAATGGTTTAAAATCTCATGTTTACAGATATGCATCTAAATGATCGTGTTGAATCCTTGCTGCTTCTAATTGAGTTAAATTCAAGTTCAACTCAAGGTGATGGGGGTGACCTTGTTCTTTGTTCACACATAAAGCCCTTGTGATGCTCATAGGCGGTGTCCATGAGGAATGTGCCCGAGATTGAAACCATTCATAAACCTGTACATAGCAACCTGAGCTTTTGGTATGTCTGATCCTTGACATTATGCGTGGCAAGAAATTATTATCAACCTTCGTGTTATCTTTGCATATATGATAATGCTTAATGTTGGTTGTTTCTCCTCCTAGTCTCCTCTCAAATTTTACTAGATTCTAGTGGAACACTTGAATTAGGAATGTTGCAGAAAGAGGTTAGAATAATGGTCCGTTGAAACACTTAAATTAGGATGAGGAAAAGGAGAAACAAATGAATGTATCCAACATGCTTTCTAAAATATGATGCATCTTAGAAAACTGATTATCGTGTAAGGGTATGTTTGGATAAGTTTTTCCGGAAGCACTTCTAGGAGAGAAAAATAGGAAAGAAAATCAAAACAAGTTTTTCTGTATGCTAAAAGTAGCCATAGACTAAAACTTATGAATAAAAGTAAAATTTATGAGAAGCTAATAACTTATGTATCAACTAGTTAAAAATAAAATTTTAGAGAAGCTAATATGAGAGAGTTTCTGCAAAATAACTTATGTATAAACTAATTCTTAGCTTATGGGGAAGCTTATTTCATTTTTTCCTCCTATTTTGATTTTTTATAAATGTTTTTAGAGAAGTTTACCTAAACATATCCTAACCCACAATCCAGTCATGCAATTAGCTGCCTCAGCATTTACCCTACATTCAGAATTTTCATTTTAAGCACTTCATAGAAGGTTAATTTTAATTGTAATAATATTTCAGGACCTTTTTGTGAAGAGTTTATCCTTCTGAAGATGAGTGCCGAAAACAAGAAAATAAAACCAAAGACTGATATTGAACTCTTTCTCAATAATGCTAACCAGTGCGTTTGGAAAAAAATAAATAATGACTCAGGTGCAGGTGCAAATGCAGCCTCAAGGGTGGACATGACACTTGCTGCCACTGACCCCCTATCTGAAATAGTTTGGTCTCCAGACAAAGGTTTGAGTCTTAAATGTGCTGATTCAAGCTTTGCTAAAAAAAATACTTCTCTTTTAAGGGATGTTGGAACAAGCTGTATGGTTCTTGCTTCGCCACAAAATTTTACTGGTGGTAATTCTACCACTGATAAACCTATAGATGATGATTTTGTGAAACCTATAGCAGTTGTATGTGCCAAGAGTGATATTGCTGAAGCAGATGCTCATACGATGCATCCAACAGGTGGTGATTCAAGTGCCAAGGCAGAGTGTAAAGCCTATGAAGAAGATGACATGGGTAAGTGTATATAGATGCAAGGAAAGGAGGCTTTACAGTAGATTTTTGGGTTCAAATAAACCTTACCTCACTGAATGACAAAGAAATACATCTGTTATCCTAATTAGTTAAATACTTAATTGGGACTTGTGAGTTTGAATTAATGTCTTTCTGGTCACTTTTTCCTAGAATCATTTTCTCAATCCTACAGAACTCTCATCTGGCAGGATCTGTTGGTCATAAGGAGAAAGTGAACACTGCAGCGGTAGCACTTAATTTGTCTAATGATCAAAATGAGAATCTAATGAACAATTTGGAAAAGGTTACTGGAGATCGAGCCAACATTGGAACTGATAAGATATCTGGAATAGAGGGAAACAAACTTTCTGCTACTTCAGGTATGTGTTGCCATCAAGGTAGTTAAAGGTGAAAGGGGCACTTACTGCCGAGCAAAGAGAGCCACCAAAAAGCAAGACTTACTAAAAAAAGATGCTAAACATTAAAAAAATTAAAAGTTAAAACTGTTAAATATTTGACTATTTTGCATTGATTTCCATATAAAGTACTGTTGTAGCATAAAATTCATAGTAAAAATAAAACATTATGAGCCTCAAATTCTTACTCCTTAGTATCACAGATGACAAGTTACATGGCTGGTTTTAGAGATTTTTAGTTGCTATTCGGAAAGGCGCTTTTGTAAGAGGCACTAACCCCGTTTAGCTTCCTGCCTCAGCGCAGTAGGTGCATCTTTTGGTGCCATTTTAGTATATATATTTTATGAGTTATTTTTATAAGGTTATTACACAAACATACTCTACAATGATGAGATATTGTCCGCTTTGGGTCTTAGCCCTCACGGTTTTGCTTTTAGTCATCACCCAAAAGGTCTCTCAATCATTGAAGTATGTTTGTATTATATAAGTTGTTATTTGTTGTATTATTTTATCGATGTGGGACTTGTTTGAATCCCAACAATCCTCCTCTCAAACAAGGGACCTAACCTTTCATGCAGCGGAATCTGTCTTTATATGGCACATTATATTTTATGAGTTATGAGGGGTTATAGGGTTATTGGTTTTCACCGAATCCAACCTGCGGCTCTGATACCACTGATGAGGTTATTTTTATGGTATTTGTCTGAGAGGATATTTTATGAGTTATTTTTATAAGGTTATTACACAAACATACTCCACAATGATGAGATATTGTCCGCTTTGGGCCTTAGCCCTCACGGTTTTACTTTTGGTCATCACCCAAAAGGCCTCTCTTGAAGGTGATTTTTCATCATCTTCATTCTCCTCTTGATCATCAACTTTCTTTTGAAGACATGCATTTTGTGTTCTTCACTTGTATCTTCATTTATAATTGGCTCCTCCTCCAAATTTAAAGCAAAACTTTTGCCTTTCATATGAACATTGAATACTTCTTTGTTGTGTATATCTTTAATCACACAATTTTTATCTTCAAATAACACTTTATAGCCTTTTCCTAATAATTGAGAAACACTCAACAAATTTTGGTTAATATCAGGAACGTATAAAACATCAGATATTAATTTAAAACCTGAATGACTCTTAATAGCAAGTGTTCCTTTGCCTTTTACTGCAAGGTGTGCTCCATTCCCCATTTGAACTTTAGAGATATCAGTTTTGTTGAGTTCTTTGAAGAGTTCTCGATCATAGGTCATATGATTTGTACAACCACTATCAATAATCCAAGCTTTTGAGGGTTTTTTGGTCATAAAGCATGACATTGAAAGTAGTTCTTCTTCTCCCTCTTCTTGTTGATCTTCAACAATGTTGGCTTCTTCTTGTTGCTCATGAGATTTGCATACATGTTTTAGGTGTCCTAATTTTTCACAATTGTCACATTTTACATCAGGTCTCTACCAACATCTTTGTTGTGGATGATTAGTCTTTTTGCAATAAGGACATGGTGAAAAAATTTGAGTGTTATTATGTTGACTGTTCTCTTGAAACAATTCCTTCTTCTTGTTTTTGCCGATTTAAGAGTCATGATCCTTGTGAAAACATTTTGTGAAACACAGGCAAAGAGACAACTTTTTGCCTTTGCCTTCTTGATTTTCCTTTCCTTGTGAATTTTCATTTGGGCTACGGTAGGATTTTCTGGCAACGCGGAAACACATAATCTTCTTCTACAGCTTCCCAGAGATCTAAACAATGATGGGGAAATTTGTGAAAAATTTGTTTCTGCTTCCATCTCCAAGATCGTAACCTTAGCTCTAGATACCAATGATGGGGTTATTTTATGGTATTTGTCTGAGAGGATATTTTATGAGTTATTTTTATAAGGTTATTACACAAACATACTCCACAATGATGAGATATTGTCCGCTTTGGGCCTTAGCCCTCACGGTTTTGCTTTTGGTCATCACCCAAAAGGCCTCTCAATCATTGAAGTATGTTTGTATTATATAAGTTGTTATTTGTTGTATTATTTTATCGATGTGGGACTTGTTTGAATCCCAACACATTCTAATTTGTTTAATATTTGTTACTGGTTTATAGCAGAATAATTGGAAAGAATATTTGATAGTTCTGCAGGCTGTTTTTCTAAATACACTAGTTCTGAGTTTTAAAACATTTCCTTTCTGTTTTAAGGACACTAACTGAAATATTTGTTTTTGTATAAGAAATTCCAAGTTCTTCCTTTTTTGGCATACATGAAATGTATTCTGTGTCCATTTTCCTGCAGGCCAGGCTGATCAAAGGCCATTTGATAATTTATTACTTCAATCAGATGAAAATAAACCTAGCATGGACCAAAATCCTTTTCTGGGGAGAGATACTGGTGTAGAAAAAAAGGCTGTAGTAAATGAGGATAGTTTGCATACTGTGTTTGAGCCTATAATTGAATACAAAGGCTCTGGTGCTCCAGGGGATAATTTAGCATCCTCCAGCAGGAATCCTGTAGAAAAACTGGAATGTAGTGCAGAGAATAATTTGCGATTTTTCAACTGTGAAGCTGCTTGTGCTGGAACCAGCAGAGTTAATGTTAATGAGACTGAAAACAAATTTCAAGACAATGAAATGTTGCAACCATGTGATAAGATTCTTCCAGTTTTGCATTCTCCATGTCATAGCAGAATTCATATGGCAATCAACAAAGGCAAGGAAAAATCCTTATCAGATGTTGATGCAAATGTAATGTTATCAAGGGAGGAGAATGACAGCCATTCAAGTGTTGAAAGCTGTAACAGTGCTGGCTTTTTCCCAACTGGTAAGAAGAGACGTAACTTTCAACAACAGTTGATAATTGGGAGTAAAAGAGTCAAAAAGCAAATTGAAGAAACTTCTGGTTCCAAATCCTATGCTAAACGGGACAGCTCATTCATGAACTGGATTTCAAACATGGTGAAAGGACTCTCACAATCAAGTCAGAATGATTCAAACGCTTTGGCTCTTGCCCTTGGAAATCCAGATCATCTTAATCTGCGGCCCAATGAGAAAATTATCACGTGCAATATGAATCAAGATCCTGAGCCACAAAATACAGGATTCAAATCCATTTTTCAGTCCATATATTGTCCAAGCTTGAACAATGTGGGAACAAAAATGCCTCATCAAGAAGGAGTGAGTAGTGATGATTTAGAGCCAGGTAACATGGAAAATGGAATAGATGCTACTCCAATAACCTGTTGTGCGGAGAACAATTTGCAATCAAATAAGTTTGAAACATATGATGCCGGTCCATCCTCACAGCCTACTATTAAACCTCTAAACTTTTTTAACTATCAGGAAAGCCCAGTGGAGAATACAAATTTTTCCATCTTGGGTCATAGTAAGGACAAGGAAGAAGTGGCATCGCATTCTTCTTCAACCAAACAAAATACAGATAATAATGATAATGTTGATTCCAATGTGCTTTCTGACAGAAAGGAAGAAGAGAATATCTATCACAAAAGAGATAATCTGGGAAGTCTGTGGATAACTCGTTTTTCTCCAAAATTCACTCCTCCCTTGAGAGAACAACCTGCCAATGACACAGAGGCCTCTACTGATCTTAAGGAAGATAAAGGAAATAATGATAATAAATCAATGTATAAGTTCAAGCCTCCTTCATCTTCCCCAGGATTCAGAAATTTTGAGCCAATGGCTTCAATGTTTGCAAGGAGATTTGGTGCCATCAAACACATCATACCAACAAACACAGCAAATAATGCCACACAGTTAAATATGTTGTGTTTGTTTTGTGGAACAAGAGGCCATCAACTCTCTGATTGCTCGGCTATTGCAGAAAACATGCTAGAAGATCTCCAGAAGAATATAGATTCATATGGGGGATTGGAAGAACATCCTTGTCTATGCATCAAATGTTTTCAGCCCAACCACTGGGCAATTTCATGCCCCACTTCAATCTCAACTAGGAAACAAGAACTGAAAGCTAATGCCTTGGTGAATGATTGTGGAAAACATTTCATCCCAATCAATGAAGAGGGTGCCAGGCTGCTGAATGATGAGGATGACCGAGTTTTATCTAGCGGTTCGATTAATGATGAAACTGATAACCGAGCAGGGCAAAATATTAATTTGAAGCGGAAATCAAATGAAATTATAACCTTCAAGGTAGGCAGCAATGCATCATTGAAGAAATACCGGGGTTCAAGTTCAGAGGAAAACAAATTCAGAGAAAATCCTACAACATCTCCATCCAAATTGGCTGAAAGGAAGATTTCACATGTGCCAAATGAAATATTTGAAGCAGTGAAAAAGCTTCGATTGTCCCGCACTGACATCCTGAAGTAAGTAATACCAGTCAACTAACTTACACTTTGTCATTTCGTGTAAATGAATCATGTGGTTTTATGGTCCATCCCAATGCGGATACTATACTCTCTCCGTTTTTTTTTTCATAGTCATTTTTGACACTTTTTTTTTTCTTTTTTTATTGTTACTTTTCTAAAATCAATGACTTATTAATTTTTTTTTTCATTTTTATCCTTGATAATTAATGTATATTTACTGAACAATGTGTCTATTCATTTTTCAATGTACCCATTTCTTCTTCAACCACCTAAAGGATATAACAGGAAAATAAGTAATAAATACTTGAAAAAACTAAAATATCAATCATTTTCTTAATTCTTGTGCATAACCTTAAATGTCAATGAAAAAAAAACGGAGGGAGTAAAATTAAACAGCCTAATGGTAATTGCAAATTACATCAATGATGCTAATTAATTATTCTTAATCCCAAAATTCATGCTTAAATCATTATGCATTGGTACGGGGGTACACATTAGACGTATAAATTAGTAGTTTGCACATTCCTTTTGCTTTTGCTGCCATTGACGATTTTCTTTTCCTGCATTTCATTGTTTCTCATCAAAATGGTCATTATGCCATTGCGCCTTGCACATTTATCTGATTAAACAAACATTTATCTATATTGAAGTAGAGTGCATTCATGAGTTGAATTTGTCTAATCATTAGGTTACCCTTTACTCCTTTCTCATCTATGATCATAGGGACTTTACACGAAAGAAGAAAAAAAATGTACACAAAAAAGTAGGTGAATTGTGTTATAGACACCTTCCCATTTTTATGAGAAAGAATGGACTTTCCGAAATATTTTCACAATGTCCTGATAGGAGCACTTTGTGAAAAAATATAATGTGACACTTGTATATTCACAATTAGTCTTACACCTGCAAAAATATAAATAATCTAACTTCAGCAAAATGTAAGTTAAATAGAAGATAAGTTAGCCCACAAATAAATTGAGTTAAATTCGAACCATGTATCAACAAAATCGAGGCATACAATCACTAAGTACAAGAATGGTAATAGAAATAAAAAATAAAATATGGGAAGAAGAACAGGAAATGAGATTACATATATGCCACCAAATGCTATCTGTTAAATATTTATTTACAAATACACTACTTATGCCTCTTGGTATTGATTGGGAAGGAGCCTCTGTAACCTGTATTGCTAATTTTTCTAGCATTTTAAGTATTAACTGGAAATAAAAAGGAGAAATGAAACCAACAGGAGTGTATGAAATCTGACAGGCAGAGACAGAGATGCATATTTGTGATAGGTTAACATAGTGTAGACTTTTGTCACATAAAACAAATGGATCTTTGTGACTTTACTTAACAGAATGCCCTTTACATCAGATGGATAAATACTCATGGCTCAATCACACAACTTGATGGTTTTTTCTTGCGCCTGCGGCTCGGGAAGTGGGAAGAAGGGCTAGGGGGAACTGGATACCATGTGGCATGCATAAATGGTATAACTAAAACCACACCTTGTTCTTTGCATGTAAAGCATGTATCATGCTTGACTTATGTTACTTGATCACATTGTAAATTACCCTGGAATTTTTAGTTTGATGAGACATCATGACTACTAGTCTTTTTCTTTTTTACTTCTGAGTACAATTCATGAATGCTGTTTTTATTCCTTCCATTTTTGTTTTTTCTTCCTTGTTCTGTCTGGTTTACGGACAGAGACCCAGAGACAGTGTTCAGAGCAGAATACAAGAAAATCTCTCTCAGTGAAAGTGGGGAGTATCAAGTGCATGGTCGAGAGTCAGTATATATCCAATCATGATTTTCTTGAGGTAATAATCAATGATTATATATTAGCTTTTCCACTTGTTTTCCATGTGTACATATTGGAAGCTAGTGCTTTTTCACTTGTTTTCCATTTTGACTCTTTAAACTACTGTGAAAGTGAAATTCAGGCTCTAATATTATACTAGATGGGATAACATTCTTATGGGTTTGACGGTGGTTTACTGCTTATTGAGTAATGAACAAAATATAAGGGCGTTTTACTTCTATTTTCATTTCGTATTAATTTCTACACCTATTTTTTTGCTCTTCAGATTTTATTGGTATGACAAGTGAGCTGTGTGAAAGTGAAACTTTGAGTCCTAACTAAGTTGAACCTACTGAGCTAACTTTATGCTTTATATTCATATAACAATTAACATGCACAAGTACATTTAAGAGGAGTGTTTACAACGCTCCGTCTAATATACTATTTAATATTAGTTAAACTTTAGGTCAAAATTATATTCTTTAGGGGACCAAACTTAGAGCAGTTGTTTAGGTGATTTGGTGTTGTTATCCGATTAAAATTGGTGTTTCACCTTCATAATCCACAAAAAAGAATGTTTACATTTAAGGTCAACATAGGTTCCTAAGTTAAAATTCTAATTTTGATTGGAAAATAATATCAAAAGCACCTGGGAATTGTATTCAAGTTTAGTCTTTCTTTAGGATCTTTTGATATCATTCTCCAATTAAAATTGGAGTTTTGTCTCAATAATCCATGTTGACCTTTAATGTAAACTTTTATAAGTGGATTATTGAAATAAAATTTCAATTCCGATAAAAAAAAATAAAAAAAATAGAAATAAAAAATAAAAAATAAAAAACAAATGTACATAAAGAATTACATCTAAGTTTAGTGCTAAAATTTATTAAAAACTAAAAAATCATGAGTTACTAGTGCAATGGTTATCAGCTGAAGAGGAGGATCTAAAAATTCAATAACTCAGAGGGATCTCTAGTATATCTAGACTCAAAATCCCCTAGAAACGCCTTGTGATCAGCCCGAGAATTAGTACATGTCTGGTTTCATGTTTAAGCTAGAATTTGCTGCTTTTGCATGGTTTATCTGTATTTGACACAATTTAATTAGAAATATATATAGTTAGATTTAGTTCAGTGGTTTAGCATCCACTCGTGCTTTTGGTATAGCTGCTTCAACTTCACCTGATGCTTTTTTCTCTCTATTTGAGCAGGAAGAAATCATGGAATGGTGGTCCACCACCTCAGAAGCAGGTGCTGAGATTCCATCCGGAGAAGATCTTACAGAAAAATTTAAAAAGAAAAAACTGTTAGGTCTCTAGACATTTATTAAATTAAATGTTAATATATTTATTAACATATAAGCGAGTTCATTCTCACACTCTTTTAGATAAAAATTCTGTTTCCTTTTTGTTATCCAATTAATTGTATATCAAAGGAAGCTTAACATTGAAGATGGTGATAACTCATCATCACGAGTCTGTGCATGTCATACAGACATTCCTATACAAAGCATTGTTTCATGTTATGCAATGAAAATTATACTAATTCATTACTCACTAATCACTATTTCTACCCTCCACTCCAAATTGCATCTATGTCTTGCACGTTTTTGCAGTTTCTTTTATCCTGGTTTGATAAAAATTTTAATTTAGCCAGATCCCACAAAATACATAGATTAAAAAGGCATATTTAATTAAAAGAAAACTTATATCCATTTTTTGAAAATTAAGGCCATTCTTTAAATGAAAATAATACGTTATTAGTAAATATATTTTCATTTAAAAATAGCTCAATTCATGTGCATATTGCATATGGTGCCTCGTGAAAAAATATTGGCATATCTAAGAGAAAAGGTGCTTTCATAAACCTTTAATATTTTTTTATTTACCCATGAAGATTTGATATAATGAACTTGGTGAAGGAGATCGTGTGCCTGTAAACTTTCTGCTCGGTTTGAAATTAAAATATTGCTTTGCCAACCATGTTTTAATAGTGTCATTCAAGTAATTTTAAAATAGCTCAATTCATGTGCCTACATATGCATATGGTGCCTCATGTGAAAAAAATATTGGCATATCTAAGAGAAAAGGTGCTTTCATAAACCTTTAATATTTTTTTATTTACCCATGAAGATTGATATAATGAACATGGTGAAGGAGGTCATGTGCCTGTAAACTTTCTGCTTGGTTTGAAATTAAAATATAGGAATTTAAATATGTTTTTAGTCCTCAAATTTAAGGTAAATCTGTTTTTGTTTCCTCAAACTTAAAATTGTTGTTTTTAGTTCTTATAATTTCAAAAAATCTTATTTTAGTTCTTATATTCAAATTTTGTTAAAAAATTTATCAAACATTATTATATAAAATCTACTTATTGGTGTCTCTATTAGTGAAAATATCATTTAATCTAGTTGATATTGTATAACTGTCTTAATTAGTCACTTTTAAATATGTTATTAGTGACTTAAGGGACTAAAATAAGATTTTTAAAAATTATAAAGACTAAAAATAACAGTTTTAAATTTGAAGAAGCAAAAATAAATTTATCTTAAATTTGAGAGACTAAAAACATATTTAAGCCAAATATTATTTTGCCAACCATGTTGAAATTGAAATTCAAGTAATGTAATAGTGTCATTCTAGAGTACCACACCTTTGCTTTACTTTACCACGTGATTGCAGTTGTAAAGGAAGTGAACCCGGATTTAGTCCAGTAGTTTATTGAAATGTCACTTGATTCTTTTTTTTTTTTTTTTTTTTTTGTTTTTTTTTTTTTTTTTTTTTTTTTTACTCTATACAAATCTCTCATAATTTATTTATATAATAACATGATACCGTATAGTCTTCCTATGAATAAAATATTTCCTTGATTATTATGCAGATAATTAGTTAGAAAATAGTTCTGCCTCTTTCTTATTTATATGATTCAATTTATAATAATTATTTGTTCTTTTATATAAAATGTAATTCATAATATTTAATGAATTAATTATTTTTAAATTAAAATATATTAATTATAAAGAAAAACATGTATTCTAATTGGTTAAGGAAGTAAGCATTATTAATTATGAAAGAAATAACATAAGGTGTATCGGAAGGGTCTTATCGGTCACGTGGACCGACACGTGTTGTCCTATCAGACATCTACGCGGACCTCGAACACGACTATGGCCGTATTAACAAGCACACGAGATCATTAATGGCTTAACCATCGACTCGGCAAATAGCCGAAACCAAGAGAACACTAGCAACCTCGGTTCAACTAGAGATCGGTAAGATAAACCAAGGCAGCATGATAAGACTCCACATAACCATATGTATCGTCTCGGCCAAAGGTCGAGAACTAGGGGTGGCCCAACACATACCAATCGGCCCGGTCAAGGGCCGAGAACGAAGGACAACCCAACACTCTATTTATCGACTTGGCCCAAGGCCGAAAACGAACGACAACCCCAATATTATCTATCGGCCCGGCAAGAAGCCGATAGGGCCAGGCAGGAATTAAGACGACGATCACGATTAACAAGGACAAACGCGTGATTAAATCAGCCAATTAGCATCGTATTACCTAATTTGGTAAGCATCAGAAGAGGCCCACTACGTGCAAGGCCCATTAATGGTAGTATAAATAGGTCACTTAAAACGAGGTATGTCACTGATCATTTATTACCTTCGAGAATTGTGATTGTCCTGACTTGAGCGTCGGAGTGCCTTTTGCAGGTACTTCCTCCCTCTGAAGCATCCACCTGAAGCTCTCGTTCGGCCCTTCTCCTACCAGAAAATTACGAGTGTGCCCTCAGACAGGTACATAAAGTATGCATTATAATTGGTTAAGAAAGAAGTGATGGTTAATTAAGAAAGAAAAGTAGTAAAAAATAGTTTTTAAGAAGAAAAACTGAACAATTATTATCAACTAAATTAACTATTTTTTAAAATTGTAATAAATTAAGTATTTGAGTTTTATATATAAAAACAGAGTTAGCATGTATCTTTTAATTCACTTTAGGCTTATGTATATATTGGAATGGCTCTAAAGAACAAGCATAAGGTCAAAGAAATGAACGTGATTGATTCTTGGGCTTCGTTTGGTGCTGCAGATTTTATGAAGAGATGGGTGAGAAAAAATAGATAGGAAATAGGAAATGTAGTGATCACATAAGAGTGAAAGGAGGGAGGTGAAAAATGAAAAAGGTGTAAGTTCCATAATTTTTTTTTATTTCTTCACTAAGTTGAATGAAAATGAACAGTGCTTACAAATCTGAAGAAAAAATAATAATCGATTTTGAAACCTACTACGTATTAATTTTTGCAATATACGTAACAAAGAACGGTGCTTGCAAGTAATTGATTGTATTAGTGATGTAACAAAATTAATTGATTGTCAATTTGAGACAATTAATTACTTTTAGTTAAATTATTTTTAAAAAAATTATTTCTCGTCAAAGGTCAAACCATACATCGTATTCAATTATTTCTTTTTCATATTTCTATCTATTGTTTCTCTTATTTCTGTTTTTTATACCGAAAAAAATAAAAAATAAAAACCTTGATGAAACTTTATTATTTCTCTCAAAACAAATGCTCTCACTTTCACTGTATTTCTCGTCTACTTCCATTAGGTATCTTTCACTCTTCTCTATTTATATCTATTATAATTCTCATCTCATTCTTTCCTTCAATAACACTTCATTGAAATTATACCTCTAATCATGAACAGAAACATGTAATGACTGTCAAACAGTTGATGCCAAGAAAGTTTTGCAATATATATTTTTAAGTAGGTAATGGTATTTCTCTGAGGTTATAATCGTATACTTCTCACATCAATACAAGCTATTAAACAAAATCTTAGTCTCGTCATTTTTTTTATGATGGTATGTCCATCTTACCTAATTATGTACGTTTCTTCCCCGTGCCATAAGATGTGGGAACGACTTATACAAGCTAGTATAAAATAAAGAATCACCATTTAAGAACTATACCACAAATGGATTAAAACGAATTCATCATTTTCCACATTCTCAATCTCAAGACAACGTACATGCAGAAGCTGCAACCTCTATTGGAACTCATCTCATGAAGCCTTCATCCAAATATTCAATACATAGTGAACAACAACAAATTCAGAAGCTACAACGAAGTTAAAAGTGAACAACATGATGAAGCCTTCATAAAAACATTCGATACAGAGTGGTACTTGTTTGCTTCCTTAAGGTCCTAGGGAGGTCATTAAACAAATAAAAAATGAAACACTTAATGAAGAGCATTTCCTACTCTCATAACACGCATGGTGCAATTCTTTTTTTTTTTTTTTCCATGGAAGTGGTCCTGCTTCCAAAGCTGACAACTAAAGGACATATCGAATGCGGATTTTTCACAACCAAATTGACATCAAGAATAATACATGGCCAGCATAACTGACTCTTAAAAAATGATTGAACCTAATTGGCAGATTCTTTGTTGGCTTCCTTGAGGTAATTTTCCTTTTCATGGAGCCACAGATCAGCAAATTCACAGTTTTTCCAAGCCTCAAACCAAGGCCCTCCACGAGTATAATGGATGGACTTTGGCTGAGTAGAGGGATCATTCTCAACAACCTTGTTATGCCCCTCAAGAAAATTCCAAACAAAGGGTATGGATCCAATTTCAGCATCCTCAAGCCATTGAAACCTGTGAAGGAAAGCACCTGTTTGAGTATTCACAGTGTCAGGAGTGAGCACACGGTTCTTGGGATGAGCACAGTTGTAGAGAACCATTGAAGACCAATTCTTTCTGGGGTAGACAGTTTGCACTGCCCCATCCATCTTAGTGGTCTCCTTGGGAGCATAATCATGTTGAACACACATGATGGCATACTTGTCGTCAATCAAGTCCACCAATTCTTTGATATCAGCCAAGTAGAGGAAATCACAATCCACAAACATGGCCCAACCTTGGTAATTGGCAAGGCAAGGTGTCAAGAATCTTGTGAATGAGAACTCAGTGCTCTCAAACTGACCCCTCTCCCGCCAATACAAGCCACTCTTTCTCAGATCTGACTGCTTAATTGGTATGAAGTTGTAGAGAACCATTGAAGACCAATTCTTTCTGGGGTAGACAGTTTGCACTGCCCCATCCATCTTAGTGGTCTCCTTGGGAGCATAATCATGTTGAACACACATGATGGCATACTTGTCGTCAATCAAGTCCACCAATTCTTTGATATCAGCCAAGTAGAGGAAATCACAATCCACAAACATGGCCCAACCTTGGTAATTGGCAAGGCAAGGTGTCAAGAATCTTGTGAATGAGAACTCAGTGCTCTCAAACTGACCCCTCTCCCGCCAATACAAGCCACTCTTTCTCAGATCTGACTGCTTAATTGGTATGATCTCAACAGGAATTGAAGACCTTCTCAAGATGGAATGCCGACATACCTGAAAGGCGATATCTTCACGCTGGTCATACCCCACGAAGATCTTGAAGGGCTTCTTCTCATTCTCAATTTTCCCATTACTCAAACTCATTTCTCAATGTGCCTGTCACGCAACAAATCAAAGATAAATACGATACAAAATCACAAACACATAGACCCCATTTGGGTATGGACAAAACCATGGAAATGCAAGAGCGAAAAATCTAATCTTTTTTCATTCCCAAGATCACCCAAATGTAGTAATGCAATGCTAAGGAATCTAGTTGATGTTTTTTTGAAAAAAAATAAAATCCCAAATAAAAAGATGAAAGGTGGAGAGAAGGGTACCTAGGAGATTGCGATTGAAGCAGTGTGTTGGACTTGTTTGGAACAGAGAAAGAGAAGATTTTATTTAGAAGAAGCGGAAGATGGAAAGAGAAAGCGAGGATTCAGCGGTGACGCAGATGCACACCGACACACTTATATATATTATTTATTATTTATAGAATATAGGCATAGCAGAAATTAAAACATGCGATGCTGATGCTTCACGCGTGAGCACACTGGATTTGGATTTTGGAATACAAATAGCTGCCTCAATCACACGTTTTCTTCGATCCAATCCAATTTCATTCACAAATCAGTTATCCCAACCCATCGTTTTACTCCAAAATTTAAAATTTGATTTTTCTCATATGCACACATTATTTTTAAGTTAATATATCTTACAACTAATCAAACATTATTCTAATATTATGAGAATTAATTTTTAGAACATTATATTGCTTTTTTATGTTAAAACAAACCTTATAATTACAAACTTAAGAAACTTAGTATAAAAATTAAACCTTTTATTTAAAAAATTATAATGATAGTAATAAGGGTCAAACATAGAACCTTAACCTTGAACGAATTTGAGACTTAAATACATTTTTATTTCTTAAAATATCATAATTTCATGAATTTTGTCCCTAACAATTTTTTTTTCTTTTATGATAGTTAATAATTTATTTCATTTATTATTTTATTAAATAACTTATAATTTACATTAAATTTTAACAATCAAACCATTAGATTAAAAAATTTTAATACATAGATCGAGTTTATAAATCCTTAAAAAAATAAAAATTATTTAATATTTCATTTCATTAATTCAAATTAACATATATTTTTTTAAAAAAATTATATATTAATTTAAATTTATATAATAAAATATGGGTTACTAGATAAAATAAACTTATATAAACTTACTCTCCTCCTCCTACTCTTATGATTAAGTCATTAATTATTCATTAGGCCTTCTCAAATAAAGAACACCGGGGGGAAAGCGTAGCATAGAAAATATGGGTTGTCAAGACCATTGTAAAAGTGAATTTTGTTTTTGGGCCAAAAAGAAAAGAATAGGGTTAGAAGACCTTCAATGGCCCATTCGCATAACCAAAGCTAAGCTAACATTGGAAATTCAGAATTTAGAACCACGAATTTTAGTTATATGTATCTTTCTGCTATTCAACCTACCAAAATTGAAGTTATATGAAGAGAATATGCAACTACTTTCTCTATTAGGCCGAATGACTTGGGCCTACTATGGGCTTATCCCGGCCCACCAGTAAGAACATGGTGACCTAAAGAAAGAATTCATGTCTTCTCCATTACTCACGTGATGTTATCCATTGCTATGCTATGTATGAACACAGAGTTATACATTAATTGAAGTGCATGTGGAAATCTGTGTTTCCTAACATATGTAAAAACAGTTGCATCAGCGAAGGGAAAGTGTTGCATATTCTCTTCATGCATCTGAGTTATTTTATTTTATTTTTATTGACAAGGTTAAAAAATTTAGCTAAAAATGGCAAAGCATATGGACCCTATGTTTATCTTAATCAACTAACATGCCCTAAGGGCTATATAAGCTCATTAATAGCAAGTTATATTGTCGTATACGCAGTTGTGAAAATTAAGTATAAACATGCACACGTTTCCAATGAATTTTCCATTTTCAAAAAGGGTCAACAATGTGTAAAGCATTTTTGCTTTGAAGCTTTTAGAACACTTTTTCTTCTTTCTTACCTAATAGCACTTGTCATTTGGGATTACCTCCCACGTTAAGATTCTCGAATCATAAATATTTTAATTTGAGTTTGTATAAATTGAGTTACAAATTTGTTATTTGGGACTCCATAACCAAAATTTATTCTTATCTTAAATTTGTAGTACCAGAGATCATTCATTAAATTTCTTGGTACCCAATTTTGTAATTCAACAATCACTTATTCTTATCTTTATTTATCCTCTTGCGGTTTACCTGTCTATTTTGCTATTTGGAGTCAACAATTTCAAGAGATTTTAGCGTGTTCTAAGGATTGTAATTTTTTCAGGTTTTCTAATTTATCTGTTGTTGACTTATTGCGTTTTGCATGTGGTTTCCTTGCAATCATCGAACAATATTGTCAAGATAAAGAAAAATATCGAATGTATGCTCTAATTTTGGGGTGGATATCGAAAAATTAGAATGTAATTAGTGGAATCATCAAACAATGCATATAAATATCTTGTTCAAAAGATGTTAGGATTTTAAATATAAAGAAAAAAGTTTTACATTAATTAGAATTAGATATATTAATTAATATATAAGTAAAAAAAAATTCTTCAACCCAATACCTTAAAGTTTTGAATTAAGATGCAATTGATTTATTCATTATCCAATCGAAAATTTTTCTCATATATTAAATTTTTTGACCCAATAAAATTAACTTGATGTTCTCAAACCTGAATAATGATGTCAATGAATAAAAAATATATATATATAAATACCTTGCTTAGGTCATTAAGTTAGGTATGTGGTTAATATCTAAAACAATAGCGATAAAACATAAATAAAGAATAAAGAATCGTGTTCTCCCAATTAGAAATGGTGGAACCGTTGAAAAAGAAGTGTTTTGGATATCTACGGAGCATCCGAGAAAATAGAAGAAAAAAAGAAGAAAGGTGTGTTCTCTTAATTTGATTTGATGATAGTTGTACGAGTGAATTCGTACATGCATGTGTTGTGTTGTGTTGTTCCCACCACTCAAATTAAGCACAAACACAAACCTGTTCCACAAACACACTACACTTTCACAACACACACCACAAACCCTTATTTTCCATTTACATTACACACTTACGCGGTTACACCTCTTTTTTCATCACTTTTCACTTATATTAATATTATTTTTTTCCAATGAATAAAAACAAAATTTAAAATATATGAAAATAAATTTCAAGACAATTTAATAAAAATAATATAGTCTATATTTCTGTTTTTTTTTTACTCAAAGTCTATGTTTGTGTAAAAGAAAATTATAATTTTAAGAGATTAAAAATAAATGAATTCTTGACCAAACTAAAACTAGAATTTTCGTGATTTTAAAAAATAATTTTAGTTAAATTTGAAATATTACAAAGGGAATAAAAAAATATGTAAAATTAAATTGAAATGAATATCTAATGAATTATATAATTCATAACATTTTATACAACAGCTCTTAATGTATTTATGTTTCCATCAAATACTCACGTCATTTATTATATCTTATATTTCTCTCTCTCTCTCTCTTAATTATATAAATTATTGTAAAAATAACATCTCTTGTACCTAAATAATGGAGTGTTACCCATATATTGGATCAAGATGCCATAACTTGATTTTTTTGGTCCAGTCTAAGTCCAGATTTTCAAAGACCTAACATGAAATGTTGAATTCTCTCACATTGCCCCCACCAAGACTTAATAGCTCCATTTAGATGTTAACAAATGTGAGGCCACTTGTTAAGACCTCTTCTGCATCATACAATGCAAATAAAGTTGAAAGGTTCACTTTTAACTGTTTGTGATATATTATAACTATGTTCTGTGTTTGGAAAAAAGAAGAAAAACTTCTTTTGTTTTTCTTTAGTTTAGAGAGAGAAAAATATATATATATGTGTAAGCCTTCGCACCTTTTTTTTTTTTTTTTGTTCACTTCTATAAGGAAAAAGCACTAGAGAAATAATTGTTTTTACTATTCCTTTAATATATTTATATCCAAATGCTTAAAGTAACCAATTATTATTATAAACATAATTATTTATTAAAAAAAACTTATCTTTCTAATTTACTTTATATGTAATCAACTATTTGAAAAGTTTTTTTCCTCTTAGATATATTGATAATATAGTAATTTTTATCCTTTTTTTTCACTTTTATTTCTCCAAACTAAACAATATCTCTAGGTGAATATCTCAATCTTGGATATATTTTACTCAAGCTTTAGACTTGAATTATCGATCATAGAGGCCTTGTTATTACAAAAACTAACTAGTTGCTAACTATATAATTAAAGGATCTTTACCTAACCCAGCTTTAATACCCTTGACAAAATATAAGGTGTTCATCGAATTTGATTAGTATCATTAATCTCATGGTTTAAGCCAAATTACTTAAATTGATATGGATGATTTTTTTTTTTAAATCAAACTAATTATAATTGGTTTAAATATTGAATTTTTCTTTTTTGAAATTAAATTCACTTAATGACTTGATCGATTATTTTTTAAAATTATATTAATATATTTTAAATTTTAATATTTTTTTTTTATCTTTATAATTCATTTAAATCTTATGATTACCTTATTATTTAATTTTTTTAATCATATTTTGAATAAAGAAATTAACCAAATATATGAGGTAGTAGCTGTAAATATATATATATATATATATATATATATGTGTGTGTGTGTATAACTTTTATCAATTATTACATTTGTTCAATAACTTTATATTAAATGTAAATTTTCTAGATCCAACTATTGAATTATAACTTCATATCATGATGTATGTTTATGTCAAATTTTGATAAAATTAAACAACAAATTTCTTCTATATAAATAAGGTATCAAATCATCTTTGCTTAATATATAAAAAAAATTATTTATGATTTAAAAGTAAGAAACTCTTAATCGAACGATAAACTTTGAAAAATAATTATCTAATATAAACTTATAAAATGGTGTAATATCAATGTCATTTGATCTTTATATATACATATGTGTGTGTGTGTGTTATATGTGTATATGAGAAAAGATCCATTTATTAAAAAAAACAAGTTTTAGTTGAGTTATTCCACTTAATAAATTATTATATACATTGAATTTCAACAATTCAATCATCGAATTAAAATTTTTTAATGAATAAATCAATTAAGTTTGTTTTTACAAAATTTTAAAATTGTTTGATATCTCGTTGCATTAAATCAAATGGTCATATATTCTTAAAAACATAATATATGTTAATTTGAATCTATATAATAAATATTATATAGTTTTCAAACTTTATAAAAAAATTACAGACATAATCTATTTATTAAAATTATTAATTCAACAACTGAATGATTAAAATTCATTATAAAATATAAATTATTAAATGGAATAAGTCTATCAAAACTTACTATTGAAATAAGTGAATTCTCTATATATGTGTGTGTGTTAATGGTGGACAAAAACATGGGGAGGGAAGAAAAAAGTTACAAAGATGTTGTTAATGCTCAATTAAATTTATTTAAATATGAATTGGATATTTTAATTTATGTGTCACAATTTCATTGGAGGGACGGGGTTCCAAGAAAGCGGGATGTGTGATTTGAAATCAATAACTCGTGATATACGTTAAATTTCAATGATCAAATGATTAAATTATAAGTTCTTGGTATATAAATTGAGTTTACAATTTTTTAAAAATTTTGATAACTTGTTTATACTTAATCCAAAAAGTTATTGAAGGTATAATATTTGGTGTAAGGTTTTAGACATACACCTTACGAGTTAGGATCTGTTGACACTAGGTGTGAGTCTAAAAATTTACATTTTCAATAACAATTTGTGTAATGTAAATTTAATCGATCTAACGGTTGAATTATATGACATTATACTTGAAAGATTATGTATATTAAATTCACATGTTTGAAAATTTTTTTTAGATATATTATCCAAGAATGATTATTTAGACATATTTTAAATATCATATTATACATGAAGATAAAGCCAATTCACGAACTAGTAAGTAATTTTAGAATCATATAAAATTTGATATATATAATTTTGAATATAGTATCATATGATTCAATGGTTATATCAATTAAATTTGCATTATACAAAAAGTTGTTAAATGTATAAAGTTTAAAACTTATACATGGTGTCAAGATTCTAACAATCTCTTCCTCCCCCCCTTTGTGTATATATATTTCTATATATTCTTACCCAATTTTACAAGTACTTCAACGGTGAGGATGACTTTTAAATTGTTTTGACATCAACGATGATAGGGAAACTTGCAAAAACTCCTTAATGCTTAAGTTAAAAGGGAGTTTAAGTTAAAAATGAAATTATGATTATAGTGATACCTCGTGCCCTATATATGCATGGTTGAAACCCTATGTATCCACATGATTGTGCATGGCATTTATTGCGAGGATACATTATCCTTTGTGTGTCGCTCTCTAATGTCCTATAGAGTATTTGGAGGTATGATATCAATATTGTTTTTCTGGTTGTTCCTAAGTTACAATCCAAGCTTGTCACAATTAGGCTTGGTCATGAGCTTGACTCGACGAACCCAAATTAGACAATACAATACACACACACATACACTCACACACACTGTGAGAGGTAGGTTTTTAATGCTAGAGCGAGATAAATTAATTTCAACCATTAGACTAAGTTGAATAATTTAGATTAAAAGATTAAAAAAATTACTATGTACCACCACGATCATACTACTTTTATCACTGATGTTATCACTATCATTATTAAAACTTCATTATTACCACCATTATCACCGTCATAATTGTTGCCACTATCATTGTTGATAACAATAGTGACAATGACAATGGTAACAATGTTGATGACATTGTCACCATCGTTATTATCATCGTCAATGGTAATGATAATAATAATAATAGTGACGATAATAAAAATAGTATTACAGTGATGAGTGGTAGTGATATTAATAGTTGCAAAAATCATAATATTAGTAATTTTATAAAAAAAATGTTTATAATTATTATTTTTATTTATTAAATTTTTTATTTATATTTTAATGATTATGATTTACTCACATTTTACTTCTATATATTTAATCACGATAGGGTAGTTTTTCATTGTGATAAAAAAAACTTACATTTTTTTTCATTTTCCAATTATCAAAAGCATTCAAATTTTCAACTTTTATATACCTTCTCGTACTTTTTTTTTTAAAGTTGATATCATTGTGATTTTTTACGTATAAAAGGAAAAAAAAAAAAAAAAACACCGTTAAACACTCAAAATTCATCTCTAAGTTTCTTCATGCCTAAGGAAGTATTTAATAAAATAAATTATGATTTTAATGATTGGTGTAACTTTATTTTCTACTCGTGTTATCAACCAATTACATATTAGTATGCATGACTTTTAAATAATTTATTTCATAAAAACAATAAATTTAATTATACATAATGAATTTTGATTAATTGACAATGCGATTTTTTATATGTTTTTTGTGTAAAAAAATTAAATTATAATTAAATAATATATATATATATATATATATAAATAAATAAATAAAGTGACATGTGTAATATCATCAATTACATGAATTAAATGATATAAAATTATTTTATCAATTATCTTAATTATTAGTTTTGAATTCAAATGTTGAATATTAAATATATTAAATATTTTTAAAAATGGTTTTATTATTTATAATCCAACTCAAACTAAATTATTACCAGTTTTACATGTAATTAATTGAGCTGCTGTGAATAAAAAATACATACGGTCAATGAAAAAAAAGGTTGACATGTATAATTAAATGATCTTTTTATGCAAATAAATTAATAATGATGTGTATACTTAAATACGTCTTTAGGTACTTATTTGAATTAATGTGAATGACAAATGACTCATATCACTTAATTAAATGACCAATTATCAAATCTTGATTATTTAGAATGAAAAAAACTTGAATTCGAAGGGAATTATTACTCATTTAGTGTTTGTCAAGTTTTAAAAGGAGATTGTCCCATATTAATAAGAAATGTTTATTGATATTGAAAAAAAAAAACTCCAAGAACACGTTTAATTAGTTAAGATTCATAATATTAGATAGGTCAATTTTATAAATTTAAATTTAATTTGATTAAATCCAATAAATATAAAGACAAAATTAGGCATAAAAACTTGTTAACATATATTAATTTCAACATTAAAGTATATTTTACAACAAATATTTAAAGATAAATAATATAAATATAAATATAGTATCATATTAGACAAAATAGTATTTATTAAGTAAAAAAAAATCACACATAAATATTTAAAAAATGTTAAATAGGGTTAAAATTATTCAAATAACAACATGAACTTGTCTTTCAAATACATAATGTCAATTTTGTAAAATTCAAAACCATCAAAAGTCGTTATGTGACAAATCATCATGAACACAAAACATTTTTACCAACGTTATTAAAGAATGACATTTCTTTTAAGCGATATATTTTTTTTAATGTTTAAGATTTCTGTACACTTTAAAAAATATTTAATATTAACATGTTAAGTCCAATATATCCTCATTTGATATATTTAACAAGAATAATTATAGAATAGGAAAAAAATTGTTAAATAATAATATATATAAAAAGTTTATTAATACTACTTAAAATGTGTAAAGCAACAAACATTTTGAAAAAAAAAACTAAAACATAAAAAAATTATGCTCCTGGGAAAATATCAAATATTGTATAAATTTATTTTTAATTATCAATAAAAATTAAAATTTTTATTATACCCTTAATTATTTATTATGGAGTGAGAAAATACAAAAGGAATATAGGTATGAAAAAATAATTAATATGAAAAGTAAATGATACTTTAAAAAATTGAACAATAACTGAATTTAAAAAAAAATATTAATTACAAACTTTTAATGGTTTTAAGAATTAAAAAAAACTTAAACCATATGACAAAATAGAACATAAAAAAAGATAAAGTATACCAATATTAATATATCATTAAAAAGGCGTAAAATTTACTTTTATATCATAGAAAAAAGCGTCATACTATTAAATAATAATACAAAATAACAAAAAAATTTATTATTTTGCAACTAAAATATTGTAAACATAATTGAAATAAGAAGGAAACTTTACTATTTCAAAAAACGATGTAGCATAATAATTATGTAAAATTATTCATTAAATTATACTTTTTCTAATAATAAAAAGATTTAAATTTTTTTAAAACCATTTTTAGTTTGATTTAAATTCAAAGTTACATTGAAAATTAAATTACATGGTACTTTTTAGGTTTAGAACGATGACTTTTGTTTAAAAGTTGAAGACTAATAATAAATGGGAGTTTTTAATTATTTTATTTTTATTTGACTTAAATATATATATTTTTTAATAAAGATAAGAAATATTACAATTTTTTTTGTTGATAAAAATAGGAAATATTACAAAGATAGTTGCAATTGGGATGCTTCTAACTACCTCAATCCTTCCTCACCCAACCACTAGACTAACCCTAATGGTCTAAGAAATATTACAAAGATGATCGCAATAAAAACTCGTTCTAAATTTTCATATTTTTAACTACCTAAATTTCTCTCTATCTAATAACTAGATTAATCTTAGTGATCACTTAAATATTATCTAGTCTCTATATTTTATAAGTTTTTATAATGAAATATTGTTTTTGTGAATTTTTTAAACATATGTCCACGTGGATGATATGCGATACTTTATTTGCCACATCCTTATTTAATGAATTTAAAGAATATAGAGTAAAATGGCTTATGGCTTAGGGCATAGGGGATTAGGGGCGAAATGTGAGGCACAGACGCTTGCCAATCAGGCCTTACTGCTGACTCACTCAATCTCACGCGCACATTTCCCACGCGCTTCCCATTCTTCAACTAACACGCTTCACACGTGCGTAATGCTCCTTTCATTCGCCTTCACTTGCTTATTATCTTCCTCACGCAGGATCGGTTATAATAATATTAAAAAAAAACGTAAATAAATAATAAATAATTAACAGAGTAAGCTATAGTAAAAAAAAAAAGATTTAAAGAAAATACCTCAAAAGTAAAAAAAAAAAGAATCTAAAAATGAAGGAGAATTCTGTTTTAAGGGTTTTTGAGTTAATTAATGAATGAATTTGATTTAGAAAATGTAGAGAGAGAGAGAGGGGGAAAGTTTTAGAGGAAGCTACATTTAGTGAGAGAAAGGGAGAGATGAGAGACAGCTGGGTTAGATGGATTTGGATTCTGAAGAAAAAATAAAAAGCCCATTTGCAAGATTTTACTTTTATTATTATTTTTCTTCAGATCACAGACAGAGAAAGTGAGGAGAGAAGAAAAAAAAGTTATATATTTAATGGATGCTGCCATTTATTATATTATTGTGTATAAATAAATAGAGAGAGTTTGTTGTATGAAATTTGCATGCTCATCTGGGCTCTTCCCTCAACCCTTCATTTTGAATCCCCCATTTGCTGGATCCATACTCTAAGCTCTCATAACCCACAATTTCCCTACCGCCCACTGTTCTCTATTTTCTCATCGGAATTTGCCTCACGCAACCAAGGTAATGGTCTGCAATGCAACCGGGTTGCTTTTTATCTCAATTTTTTTTTTCCCAGTTAGGGTTTTTTTTTGGGTTGATTATTTTGATTTTTTTTTTCTCTGCTCAAAATCGATTTTCGCTTTGTTTAGTTTTCTGCATGTTTGAAATTGAAGCTGGTTTTGTTGTTTTGAGAGGAATTTATCGGAAAAGTTGGGTACTTGTTTGTTCTCAAAAGGGGAGTTACAATTCAGTGTGTGGTTGGGTTAGGGTTTGATTTTGTCTTTAGAAAGGGTTTTGGGACTTTGGGGATTTTTTTTTGTTTGGTTGGGGTGGGTGGGTGGGTGGGGGACCTTTTACATCACTTCAATTAGCATTTGCAAAATTTTAATCTCTGGTAGATTCTGGGTTGAGAGAAGTATTTCATGGAGTGGTACCTGCTTAGTAACTTTTTCTGAAAAAGTTGGGGCAATGTTTGTTAATGTGGTTTGGATGTAAATTCTGCATGTCGATGAGGACTTTCCAGATTTTAGAAGCTCAGCTATGAGTCATCAATCATCATAATATTCAGGAGTACGCGCTGAGATAACAGGGTAATTCACATGTTTTTCCTTTTTTTTTTTTTTTTTTGCAACATGTGCATTATTTTGTTATTGTTTTATCGCTGACGCTGTGAAATAGTTGCAACATTTGAATAACATTATTGTCTATTAAACTGAAAGAGTGGGAAGATCAAGTATGATGTAGGAGTGGAAGATTGGAGGAGCTGTCATCTTTGAATAGAATTGTATGCATATGTGAATGTAAATGTAGCATGTATGTCCATTGGTCTGGGCATATATTTTTTTGGTTTCTTGTTTTCTTATTTCCTATGTAGTCTTCATCTTTCTTTTTGTTCAAAGAAGAATTCATTAGTAGAGAAGTATAGCAGTTATTGAGAATTAGGACCCCCCTTAAGCAGGCATTTCGAAAAAAAATTAAAATTGAAGCAATTAGTTCAAGAGTGTTCACCATTCTCTGCGTATATGACAAGGAAGTCTCCTAAAGAATTTATTTGCTAAAATTCACAAGTTTAAAAAACAATCCTTTTTAAGATTAGTAGCTGTAAGAGTAAGAAACTCTAGCTATAAGTTATGGCACGATTGGCATCACAGTACATTCAAATACACTCCTTTTATGGATCCCAAACTTCAAACATGCTCAGAGAAAACGTTGCAACTTAGAAACATATCTGAGTAAATCCATGATTCGCACAATGTCCACACCTCAGAGAATAAGATGAGCTCTAGTCACTGAACTTCAAAATATGTTTCACAAATATAAGATAAATCCTGATGCAGTTTCTGTGCTTGAGAATTGTGATAAATTGTTCATGTTATTCCTATGCCGTAACATTATGAAACCTTGCTATTGGAGGTATCCTTAACTCTGTAAAAAGCATTAGGGTCTGAGTCAATTTTCATCTTTCATTTAACTTGTGCTTTGTTTTGATTATGTATCAGCCAAATCTGAAAAAAGCTTGTCAAACATTCTATGATTCAGTTTCAGAACACTGATATGAGACTTGAATCGGGAACTTGCAATGTGTGCTCGGCTCCTTGTTCATCTTGCATGCATCTTAACCATGCTCTCATGGGGCCAAAGGCTGAAGAGTTTTCTGATGAAAACTGTCGCGTAGGAGAGGCTAATAACCAGTATTCTATGGAAGAGGATAATGCATATTCTCTTAGGAGCAGAGCTTGTGAAAGCTCGCAGCACACTGTCAGTGAAGCAAGTAATATGCAGAGTGTTAATTCAAGTCATGATGCTTTGTCCGAAAATGCCGAGAGTAGACAAATTACATTGAATAAGTATCAAGATCCCAAGTATTTAGAAGGTCATGATGACAACACTTCTTGTATTAGTAGAGCCAGTGATGCTAATTTTGTGAATGGCAGCCATCAGAGGAAGGAAGAGAAAATAATAATGCATGTGGAAAGGGATTCATCTTCTCATGTTCCAGAAAAATTGTTGGAATGCTCCATTGAGAATTCTAGTTCATCCTTGACCAAAGAGAGGGAACCTGTTGTTTCTGGTGAGAAACATATTGCTGTTAAGGATCGCCTTGTTGAGAGTACTTCCGAGATTTCACTAAAAGTATGTCCAAAGTCAGAAGCAGATACCGCTGTTTGTGATGTTAACAATGAAGATCCTAAATGTTCACTTCACAATGGACAAGGTGAGAAAACGGAGCTGGTTAAATTGCCTGGCAAGCAGGAACCTCAATCTGAAGACGAGAGTGATGAATCAGATGTTGTGGAACATGATGTGAGTATCTTTCCTTTTCTATCTGTTTGTTTTGTGTTTTTTTGCTGAATCTAAACTTGATTGAGATGAAAATGAGGGCAAATGCAATAGCATATGTGGATGTGCTTAACCTCAACTTAAATTTCTCATTTCATTGACTGGAAAATAGGTAAAGGTGTGTGACATCTGTGGAGATGCTGGTCGTGAGGATCTACTTGCCATATGTAGTAGGTGCAGTGACGGTGCAGAGCACACGTATGCACGAGAAACTTTCACCTTATTTCTTAGTTTCTATTATATTGATACAAATTCTGTTCTCTAAAGTCTAAATTGAATTTTATCATTATTATTTCGTTGAATCAGCTACTGTATGCGAGACATGCTTGAGAAAGTCCCTGAAGGGGATTGGTTATGTGAAGAATGCAAAGATGCAGAGGAGAATGAAAATAAAAGATCGGGTAAGAGTGAAGTTATATATCATATTACATAATTCTGGGGTTTGACATTACACACCCTTTTTTGCTTTCTGTGAACTGAATTTGCAGTCTTTGATGTTGAGTACATAAACATTGAAGCACTCATGTATGTGTATATCTATTTCTGTATGCTTACATTTATGGATTTGAATTTTGTATTCAGATGTTGAAGACCAAAAAATGGTTGAAGCTGGTTCAACCTCACAAGTTTCTGGCAAAAGGCTTTCTGATAACATTGAAGTAGCTCCAGCAGCAAAAAGACAAGCTCTTGAATCAAGTACAGGATCACCAAAGATGTCAAGTCCCAAGAAGTTAGTTCCATTATCCCGTGAATCTTCATTTAAGAGCTTGGATAAATCAAAAGTGAAGCCTAGTCTTCTGATGCCTATTCGAAACCACTCTGGTGGTAATGACACAGAGATTGCTCGCTCTCCTTCGATTGGTCCCCGGGGTCAAAATCCTAAGGGTAAGCATTTATTTTTCATCTGTTTTTCTTCTCTGCAACTTTCTATATTTTCTGCAGGTCTTAAGGTCTTTTGAGGAACTGGGTTCCTTAATGATTTTTTACCCTGTATCCTAGTATTTCATTTATTCTAAGTACAACTTTTGTTCCTATGAATAGGTATGTTGTTGAAGTCTAATTCATTCAACAACTTGAATTCCAAGCCAAGAGTTAAACTTGTTGAAGAAGTTGTTCCCCCAAAACCAAAAGGGGGTAATGAACATACTTCAAAGAACATGGACATGCCTGCTCGAATGACTGGCAAATCAACATTATTCAAATCCTCGAGTTTGGGGCGATCAAATGCATCTGAATCAAAAGTTAAAATGCTTTCGCCCAAGTCTGCAACTACTCAGGATTTGAAAGGTTCTAGACATTCAAAAGAATCAGGTGTGTTTGATAGGAAATTTCCGTCTAGGGTTGATCGTCCCGTGGCTAGTACTGTCGTTTCCACTCCTAAGGGTGATCAAAAGCTTACACCTCGTGCTGAAACCAGTAAACCCTCAACAATGAACAACAATCGAGAATTGAAGGTTAACCAAGATGGAAAATCAAGTACATTATCAAGGTCAATGAGTAATATAAGTCGTAAAAGTTTGGAGCCTCAAGTTAGTTCAGGTGTGATCTCAATTGGAAACACAGTATTACTGCTATTGTATTTTTATTTTTACCTTTTTTTTTTTGGGGGTGTGGGGGGGTGGGTTGTTAATCTGCTGCTTTTGGTTTCATAAAGCCACCGTCTATGTTATTTTCCCTTGTTTTAGTTTCAGCTGGGGCATCCTTCTTTCAATAGTAGATTTTGTGCTTCAAACTACGCTATCTTCAAATATTATTTCTTATTTCATTTTTTCTTTAAATCTAATAGAGAGAACATCAACCCGGGTTGATGAAGCTCAACAGGATGTGCTGCCTCGATCACGGGAGACTGCAAATCAGGTTGAGAAAAGCAGAGATAGTTCTAGTGGTGATCGTGTAAGGTCACCTGTTCCAACTTCTTCAAAAAACCCATTCTGTCAAAAGTGTAAGGAATTTGGCCATCCCTTGGAATGTTGCACAGCTGGTACTACACAGGAATCTGGTGCCGAAATATCTGTCACTGCCTCCAGTAGTTCAAAAGAGGAGATGCATAAAGACAATATATTGAAAGCTGCAATCCAGGCTGCTTTACTTAGAAGGCCTGAAATTTACAAGAAGAAAGAAGTGTCTAATCAAACTGATGAGGTCTCTACCTCAGGCACAGAGTTGAATTGTGAAGTGACTTCAAAAGACCAAGTGTTGATTTCTGGCACACTGAAGCATAGTATATCTGCTGATGAAGCCCATGAACAACTGGAAACCCTTGAGAATTCTACCTCAGATTCTTCAAAATGTTCATCTGCCAATGATTTGAAGCAACTTAACTCTTGTCCAACTGACTCTCAGTCCCTAACAGGAAAGTCAGATTCCATTGGTCTTGCAGCTGGAAAGCTTGTAGTGAGAGACTTGTCTGATAAAGCTGTGGCACTGTCAAGTGTTCCTTCGAAGACATTAGCCTTTCCTGAATATGAATACATCTGGCAGTATGAAACAACTTTTGATGAACTAGCTTGTCTTTAGTTCTGGGTTGCTCTTGCTGTTTTAATTGTCATGTTTTTCAATAAAGTGCACTGTACATAAGCTTTGTTGCTTGCTTGCAGGGGTGTCTTTGAAGTGCATAGAAATGGAAAGCCTCCTGATTTATATACTGGACTTCAGGCGCATTTATCATCTTGTGTTTCTTCTAAGGTTATTGGGGTAGTGGACAAGTTCCTACCCAAAGTTCCCCTCAATGAAGTTTCTCGACTGAGCATTTGGCCTTCACAGTTTCATCATGGTGGGGTTAGTGAAGATAATATTGCCCTTTACTTCTTTGCCAGGGATGTTGAAAGGTAAGTATATGGATATTATTGTTATATTGGCAGTAGACCATGAAAAGCAAATATTTCTTTGTTTTTTTGTCATAATTGACTTATTAGCGATGTTCTGACACAGTTATGAGAGATACTACAAGGGTTTATTGGATCACATGATTAGAAATGATTTAGCACTTAAAGGAAATTATGATGGTGTTGAACTGCTGATATTCCCTTCCAATCAGCTTCCTGAAAATTCACAGCGTAAGGAATTATTTCATACTTTTCCAACATTATAAGCAACTTGTGGAGGGATACTTGCAGGTTTGGGGCTTTTGTTGATGTTTAAGGCTGGATTAGTGTTCATGGGTTGCTTAAATTATTTTATATATGCAATTTTGAAATGTCTCGGAGAAACATGGTTTCAGAATTCTCTACAAAGACAAGCATTCTTCTGTTTTAGTGTGCACCTTGTGTGTGTTGTGTTTTTTATTTTATTTTATTTTTTTGGGGGGGGGGGCGTAATGGTTACTTTACTTGTCATTTGCCTGGGTGGTGACCCTATTTATTTTGATTCAGGATTCTATACTGCTTTATATGATGTCAGAGTTCTGAATAAGACTTGCATTGATGAAATGCATTAAATTGCAAAATTTAAGAATATTCTGTATTGAACTCAGACCAAGTCAAAAGCAATAATTTGACCATGCATTCAGCAGGCATCAGTGTGTCACCAGTGCTAAATGGTTACTTGTCATTTGCCTGGCTGGTGATCCCATTTATTTTGATTCAGGATTCTATATTGCTTTATATGATGTCAGAATTATGAATAAGACTAGCATTGATGAAATGCATTAAGGTTGCAAAGAATAAGAATGTTCTGTATTGAACTCGGACCAAGTCAAAAGCAATAATTTGACCATGCATTCAGCAGGCATTAGTGTGTCATCAGTGCTAAATTTCGGTTAGATATAAAATCATTCTTGAGTATTAACATAATAAATCAAATTTTTGGGAGAGTTGGTCCTCAATTGGTATTAGATCCTTGCATCTCGTGTCTTAGTTGCAAACAGGAAGCAGAGGTGGTGACTCTAGCACTGTTGTTTTTGCATGACTTCTCAAAGGGTTAGTGTACAGTCAGCATGAGTGGGTGGGTGCAGGGGGCAGCATGGTGGAATGTTAGGATCCAATCAGAGGTTGGAACTAGAGCCCCGTCTTAGAAGTATGGGTTTTTAATGTGGGATTTGTGTTTGAAGCTTGAAATCACAATGGCTAGCTTTTGTGGCATAGTTCTTCCAATGTTTGTTTCAATTGGGGATTCAAATTAGTGGTCATGAATTCGTTCTACTTGTTTTCTAAAAGAAAATGAATATTAGCATGTGCCTGTGCATTGTCCTTGCTTTAAGGAGGCACGTTTGATATAAAATCATTCACATGCCTTCACCTAATTGCTTAAGCTTTTTGTGGGGGGGGGGGGGGGTAAGTCGGTCCTTGACAATTGGGTATGCTTGGCTTTTCAGTTAGATGACTGATTTAAATGCATATCTATGTAAAAAGAAAAGAATTGTTTAAATTCACTTGTTAACACATGTTTAGACTGCTAATGATCCTATTTTTTGGCAGGCTGGAATATGTTGTTTTTCTTGTGGGGCGTATTTAGGGGGAGGAGGATCAATAATTCAGATTCTGCAAAAAAGATTTGTATTCCCAGTTTGAATGTGATGCCAGTTGAGGAGAAATCTTCAGCTGTTGTTTTGACGAAGCCTGAAACACATTGTTTGCCAAAGTGCAAGAAAGATGAAGAATCAATTGATTGTGATAAAGCATGTAATGCACTTCTCCCATCCACTTCTGTAGACCAACGTCAGACTAATGGAAGTAGGAATGTGGATGCCAATGACCAGACATATTTGGGTTCACAAGGAAACTTAGAGAAGCTAGATAGTAGGATTGACTCAAAATCTACATCAAGGGTTCTAACAAGCAGCACTCTGTTACATCAAGAAATTGAGTCTCCTGGTTCACCCCTGGTAATGTTTTTATCCTTAAATACATAAAATTTCATAGACCGGAAAGTTTGTTTTTCAATTGATAAAAATCTACTTGCATTCATGTGCGATGTCAACATTATGTCTGATTATAGTCCCTCTTACTATGAAAAGTTTGAAGCAATGCTGTTAATGGTGTATGGTAGCAAGCCAAAAAAATGGCATAAAATTATAGTGGATGGTGTTTATAAAAGTATATATTACTGTATGTATGTGTCAGGATGAAATCCCTTGAGCCAATCCCCTTGTATGTGTCTAACATCTTGTTGCTTGTAAGCTATGCTGTCATTGCTGTGAACTGTACCTACCTTGAGACCACTATTTAGAAACCCATTTTGTGAAGAGTAGTTGTTATCTTTGATGCCAATCATCTGAGTTTGTTTAAACACGTTCTTGCTTTATGCAGAAAGCTGGTGTACCTGAACAAGGACAGTGCAGAGAGTGTGAACCTCCTGAAGCAACAGGAAAAAGTGCAAGTAGTATGATTGTGGAAACAAAAACCGATTCGGATATTTCTGTTAAGCAAGAGAACACCTTGTCTTTGATTCCTTCTGAAGAAGGTGCTGCAAGCAATATTAGCGAGGATAAGATTTCAGAAAAAATAAACAGTGATAAAGACCAACAAAGGCCTGAGAAGAAACGAAAAGAGGATTGTCATTATATTGATTTAGAGGCAAATCTTGACAATCAAGAACCAGGTGCTACAAGCAATTTTAGTAAGGATAAAAATTCAATAACAGTTATTGGTCAAGATCAGCAAAGGCCTAAGAGGAAACCGAAAGATGATCATTATATTGATTTGGAGGTAACGCCTGAAGATCAAGAAATGGGTTCTGTAAGCAATATACGTGAGGATAAAAAAATGGACGTTGAGGAAGACTGGCGATGGCTTAAGAAGAAACAGAAAGATGGTCACTGCATTGACTTGGAGGCAACTTTTCCGGGAGACCCAAGTGTAGAAGTGGTCAACTGTCAGCTACCTGATGATAAAGTTCAATATGTAAATCTTTCTGACACAATTATGCAGGGTTCTGCTGTTAGTTGTCAAAGAATGCCTTGGAGTGAGGGAAATGCTATGTCAGAAGACAGAGAAAGTTATGGCAAGAGGCTAAAGTCAGGTTTTGGTGGATTTTATGGTTCTGGAGGTAGAGACTCTTTTAATGACAGTTTTACACCTCTTAGAAATGATCTTGGCTCCTGTTCTTCAGTTGAGGACAAAGGATGTGAGGAAGCTTGTGCTGAAAAAATCATCCTTGAGGACTTAGGTACGAAGGAAAGAACCTTCTTTCCGGTTGGCATGCAGAATGCTAGCAACTCACTATCAGTGCTGAATACCATGTCAACCAAAGCGGTTGGTGGGTACGATGAAGGGTTTCAAGATGGGACTCCTAATCTAGAGCTTGCCTTAGGGGGCAAGACGAAACCGCCACAGTCTGCGCCTAAGGGTATGCTGCCTTTCTTAGTTGGGGCAGTGGACAGGCAGAATAACCGCCCGGTTAGCGTGGGAGATAGGCCGGAGGATGATGGTTTTGCTGCATCTCTTTCTCTCTCTCTGTCCTTTCCATCTCCAAACAAGGATCACACAAAAGCTGCTGAGCTTTTGCCTGATGGCCACCGAGTGAACAACCCGTTTTTCCTTTTTGGGAGAAAATAAATCTGCTGGCTGCTTATATGTTTCCAATCATGTAAATTATCTTGTTTCGGATGGCCCAGCATGTATGATAGATATAATCTTCCAGCCCCTCGCTACACAAAAGAAGGAGCCGTTGTCCTCAACAAGAGTCAATAAGTTTTCTTTCTTTTTTTAATCCTTTGTTACATACATGTTTTTGTATTAGTTTTTTTGTTTTCAGAATGCATAGTGACGGCTGTTTGTATATATAGAGAGAATTGAAGCCGACATAATTTCAAATATGATACTAGGAACTTGCGGATGACTATTTTTATGGCAGGGTTTCCTCTGTTCCTGGCTCCATTCTGTCTTTACTTCATTATATTTGGTAAGCACAATCTTATATTGAAACTAAACTTATGTTGTTGAAAGAGAAGTTCATGATTTTCTTCTCAATTATTAAATATATGATTAGGAAGGACAAATCTGAATGGGACTGGGAGTATTGTAATGCTGCAATGGTTCGTGGTAACTTGTAAATGTAAACGAAAGATCAATCATCATTTTCGTAACAGACTAACAAATCAAAATGATTAATTGATCTGCCTTCTTAGTCACGAACTCCATGCTTGAATTGACAATCATCATTTTGCATGGAAGATATGATATATATATATATATATATATATATTGTAAGTTGGTGAGTTTTTTAAAATAAAAAAATTGATATGAAAATTATGAAGCGTCAACTAATATATGTGTTTCTGGCAAAAAAAAAAAACTAATCAGTATATTATGTTGACTTTTTTTTTAATTAATGAAATTTTATGGATGAACATAATAATTTATTTCGTAGAAATAATTTTAAGGGATAATTTGATGAATTTTTTTAAGGACAAAATTTAGTCCAATGATTTTTTAAAGATCAAATTAAATCATGGTAAAGAAAGTATATTTTCTCTTTAAAATAAAACGAAACACATTAATTTCACTTGAAAACGCTTTTTTATTATATTTTGTTTTGGTCATGCTTTTGAGATGCACTTAAAATGTCTAAGCTAAAATTTGGGGGCACAATTTTTTTTATTTAATAAAATTACTAAACTTAACGTAACAAATACTAATAACAATATACTTGATTGATATATATTATGTATTAAAAATAATCATATGAGAAGTGTTTGGATGTAATAAATTTAAAACAAAAAATATTAATATCTATAACTTATGTATGTATATTTGTATGTAAGTAAGTGTTCGTGTATATGCACATGTGTTGCAATTTAGAGTCTTATATGTACTTTTAAAATAAATTTATGATTATTTTATTTTTATCAGTTATTTATTAAAATATAAATTATAACATAAACTATATATTGTTTAGTGCATGATGTGTGTTCATGAGATTTTAACTTTTCAATAATCCTAGTTTTAAAAAATAGAAATAAGTAGTTAAATTGTTCATTATATATATATATAAAGAGTGATCAGCATTAGAAGATTGAATTGGTTATAACAAAATTAACGCTAATAATATCACGATTCAAAAGAGATTACATTTCACCGAAGAAAAATTTTCCTTTATATAAAAATTTAATTTTTTTTAATAATCAAAATGATTATTTCTTTTAAAAGCAAGTTTATATTATTATTTTTATTTGGTATATATTGTGATGAATAATAAATAACATATCTATTTATGATATCTTAATTTTTTTTATCAAGTTAATATAATTATGATTCAATTAATTTAAAATAATTTTTTGGTTTAGGGTTTATTTACAAAGTTAAGATTAATTATATATATTTTTCTTCTAAACTTATACATTTTTGTAAATTTTATCTTACTTTTTTTTCATGAATTTTGCTCCTAATTTACTAAATACCATAAAATTTGTATCGCCATTTGTTACAATTATTTGAAACAATTTCGTTACATATAATTGAGACTGTTTAAGTAAATAAGAGTAAATTTTCATTTATGATATTTTTAAAATTGAGAAAGAAAATACGTAGAAAATTCTTTTGAGAAGCAAAACACACGAAAAACATTAGATGAAAAAATTGCAATTAAACATAATATTCATGCCACGAGAGGGTTTAATATCTTATAATAAATAGAAGTAAAAAATAATCATGCAATGAATGTAGTTATATTTTGTGTATAAATTAAAAACAAAAACCTGTTTGATAGCGAAATCGATTATTTTTTTTAAAATTAAGATAGATATTTATTTTTTCAGCGGTGATATAAAATTAAATTTAGCTTCAAATTTGTTATTATTCATGATGTTCCCAAAACATTAGATAATGAATAAAGGAATAGTAATAGTAGTAGTTGTGAACTAAAATTTAAACATTTGTTTTTTAAATATATCTCTTTTATTTGAAATAATGAAATAGCTGATAGATAAATAAACATAAAATTGTGGTGATGAACAGTTATTATTTTATTTCATACAGAAAGACAAATAAGTTATCAATTTGCTGCTTGTAATCTCCATTCTCTTATTACAATTCTCTCTCTCTCTCTCTCTCTTTTCAGACACACTCTCTCATGGCAACTTGTTTCACCCCCTTCTCCATTTCAGGTGAATTTTTCCGTCTTTTCAATAACCCTTTTGGCTTCTAAGAATCAACAATGTTCAAATAACACGCCCCATCAGAAAAAAAAAATGTCTTTTTTTAACTATCAGTCGGTAGTCCTTCATTTCTAGGGTTTTCTCTGCTTTTATTGATGCTTCCTTATGATTAATAATCATCACCGAATGGAGCGTATATGGAGAATATGAAAAATGAGATTTTTTTTAATTCAATATAAATCATGGAATTCTTGTATTGTAATTTTTTTTTTGGGATTTAATTTGGGACCAGGTGGATCTCATGTCAAGTCACCTGAGTTGTGGTTAACAAAGGGTAACTCATTTGGGGTTGGAACTAAGGTCAGTGTTCAAAGGAGATCAAATCTCGTGATCAACAAGAACCGCAGGTCATCAATTTGTGCAGAATACCGGTATGCCATTTTGACCTCACTTTATTTTTCGGTGCAATTTTATGTTTTAAAATAAATTAAACTACTTAGATCGACCTAGTAACGAGTGTTGAGATAACATGCACATCGTCTTAGGTTTGAATTTTATTATTGTGATTGCAATTTCGACTGATTAAGAAAAATTAAATCTATTATAGCCCTAGCCAGACTTCTGATTGTATCAGATGATTTTGTCTTTTTTATTTGTACTTTATTAGATTTAAATTTTAAGACTTTGTATTTGGTTTCTGTGGTGATTGGTGTCTCGGTTTATATCTCACATAAATATGATCTGCTTGGGAATATTTTGTGAATCTTTAAATATAGAATTTCAGAAATCTTTAAACATCATCATTATATTTGTGAATTGCATTGCATGATCCATGTAGCTGTGCTCACCTAGTGAGATAAGGTTTTGTTGTTGTTGTCGTATGCACACAGATTGGTTTTCTTTCCAATCTCGTATAGTCGTTTATGCTAAATAAATCATAGAACAATCTTCCAGACCAGTTGATGTGTTACATTTTGTCTACGAAAGACCAGAGGTGAAGAATGGTGATGTTTAATGTTTCTTTCCACTATCTGTTAATTGTTATACTTGTATGTTCTGATTTCACAGATTTTCATGAATTTTAGACCTAATAGTGAATGAGCATTTGAATCTGCTTTTTCTGAAATGAATTAGAAGCAAAAATGGTAGCCACCGTTTCATTTCATGATTTTTTGAAATTATTTTGGTGCTAATATTCTTTTTAAATTCCGAGTACTTGGAGTAATAGTTGGAATTTGCACGTCACTTGATTTTATTGGTTGCTTATTTTGGAAGATTACACAAAGACTTACTGAGCTTTCCATTTTCTATCTCCCATGTATAGTGATAATAGAGGAGGTGGAGGTGGAGATTTTCTTGCTGGCTTTCTTCTGGGTGGTGCAATTTTTGGAACTGTTGCTTATATCTTTGCTCCCCAGGTGATTTCTTCTTATTTCTATTTTAAATTTGTTTAATACTAACAACTTAAACCGTAAGCAGTGTATGGTGAACAAACTTGATTACACATCAAGAAGAAAGGGAAAGTAAGATGAGTTAACTATGTGGTAGATAACTTCTTTTGAAAATTATTAAATTTTTTTTGCTAAACAAGAAAATGCAGTCATGAAGGACTGACTCAATGGACTTGTCATTATTAACTATATAATTTCTGTTTCATTTCTAAGTGGGACATTTGTTTCATGCTCCAATGGCTAAATTTGCTTTTCTAAGAAGAGAAAAAGAATAAGTGGTTTTTTCTTTTATATGCTGTAACGATGGTAATATCAATGTGCTGGGATGATGAGTTAGAGTCATGAATGTTTATTTTTATTTACAAATATGAAAAATGTCCATGTAGTGTTTCACTAGCTTCCCATCTTTGAATCTGGTTTTATGGTTGTCTCGAGTACTACAAACATTCTCATGGCAAAATTTCGGATATATATCACTAACACTCTCTTTATTAGAAATTACAAATTTTGTGGGTTCTGTATTTCATTTAATGAAAGAGTCTCTCTTGGTTTAGTGGTAGGACTCACTAAATTTTTTAATTTTAAACCAATAGTAGGGAGAGTATTAAGAAGAGTGTTAGAGTGAGTGTTGCTAACATTTCTCATATTAGTATCATTTACTTTTTGTCTTGGAAAAAATACTCATTTATTTTAATTATCCATCTTTTTGTTGTACTGCTGTTACTTTTGTTACTATTTACTCATGATATTATTGTTGCCATTTTGATGGCTTAGTATGCTTGCAAGTTTGTATGTTGACACTATTTTGTGATGCAGATCAGAAGATCTCTGCTAAATGAGGATGAGTATGGATTTCGCAAGGCCAAAAGACCAATGTATTATGACGAAGGGTTAGAGGTAAATGTAATTAGGCTCCTTTTGGCTTTAGATTCAACTTTTCTGTTATTGAAATATGCTTACAATATGTTTAAATACAAGTTTAGAAGAGTTTCTTTGAGCTTATTTATCGAAAATAAAGAGTTTTCAAATAGACTCTTGGAATCTTACAACTATGTTATGCTGTTTCTGAAAGCAGAGGACCAGGCAGACCTTGAACGAGAAGATAGGGCAACTAAATTCTGCCATTGATAATGTATCTTCACGTTTGAGAGGTGGCAACAACGTGCCTGCTGCTAAGATAGAAAGTGATCCTGAGGTGGAAGCTACCATGTGAGATGCATTCACAGTTTGATACTGCGATCGATGATGCTTTCAAGTCATGAATTCTAAGAATTGAAAATCGAGTCTATGCTTTTTTGACGGGTTGAAAGATGTGAAGTCTTGTTGCTGGACTAATATAGTTAAAGCTGTCAAATTATTACTTTTTAAATTTTGTTTAATAATGGATGATTTTGTTTGTGCATGATTCAGTTGGATTCTGGGGCATTACTTGTTTCTTGTTTTGGTAACTATGCTGAAGTAAATTTACAAGAAAAGAAAAAAAAACATGTTGCTGTCCAAGTAATAATTGAAATCTCCACCACCCAAAATGTCTTTTCAAGAAATGATATTAACCAAGAAAATAATATATATGAAACGTGCTTAAGGAGGAACGACTAAAATTTTTGCTGTGCAATATAAAATGTTTCCATGGTAATTCAGGCGAGCATTGATGCCAAGAAAATTACGAATATGTTAGTGGTACCTTTTCTATCCATGTACAATGTACAAAATTAAAAAAGAAACGATGATATAAACGAGATGACTAATTGATATCAGAAGATGAACGGAATTGTAAATTATAAAAAATAAATATAAAGGCTTTTACATTATAATATATAGTTAAATATATAATTCAATGATTTAAATAAAAGCACTGTTTTAGTAGGAATCTCAAAGGCATATTCATTTTTTATGCTTTAGAATCGTTATGTTCTTTACTATGTAAAATTATTGTATTAGCCCAATATAATCAGCATATTCTCCTCGTTTAAATCGGTGTTTGTGAACTTTGACAAGTCACTACAACTGATTAATGTCTGTACACTGATTAAAAAAGAAGGAAAGATTAGGTTAATCATAAAATGTTCAAACAAGCCGATATAATTCATGATTATATACTTGTATGTGTGTAAGAACAAATGTAGATAGTTTCTTTTAACCGCAAATCACTCTGGAATTGCGGTCTGTAAAATAAGTAATCCAATGTGGAGGGTTGATGTAGTGGTATTATTGGCTCACCTATTTCATTTGCAAATTTAGCTACAACTACCTATAATTATTTGTGAAAAAAACAATGACTAATCTGTCTTGTTTCTCTGTTTCATTTCCTTTGTGATTCTTAATTTAGAAGGCAACGTAGGCTTTAATAAAACAAGGATTTATTGGGTCAACCTTCCCCTTTAATTTTATTGGGGTTAGCATTCCTCTCCCAGATGTAGCCCCTCAATGTTTGATGCTGTACGAAGAAGCTACGAAAAGAATAAAGCACCCAAAATAACAGTTTTTGGCGCAATGGAAGGTGCTCGATCACCTAGAAATGTCAATTTTATATTACATACTTTTTCTTTCCTTCTATTTTCTACACAATTAAGCAAGAGAATTTTTATCTTTTAGCTTTCTTTCCTTTCGTTTTTCCGCCAAACAGCTTAACAATCATCTCACTTTTTACTTTTTTTTTTCCCAAGTCCCCTTCTTTCTTTTTACTTTTTTTTTTCCTAAATCAAAAGAATAAAGACGCAGGGATTGGCTGAAAGAAAGGGTATCAATCACTATTCTAAATGATCAACAGATAAGCATATTTATAAATCATGTATAAGCGGTGCAGAAAATTTTCTTAACCACTGTCATGATATAAAAATTTAGCATTTCTAAATAATAACCCAAGGATTTGTGATAATAGAAGATGGAATGGAAAATATAAATAACATGCTTCAGAAAAGTTATAAACTTAGCGAATCAGCATGTGGCTACAAGCCAATAACATGATCAGCCATCCAACATGAAGGGTAGCAGTTGTATCTCAAAAACATTGCAGCTTCCTCTCCATAGTTGTTCTGGATGCCATCCTCTTTCGAGTTCAGTGACTTTACCATGGCCTTAAAAGTGGTTCAGTTAGCAGCCACATGATAGTTTTAACCACTCAAAAGACAATTCCACCTTTCAATGAAAACTGTTGTGCTCATTGATCAACAATGATAGCAAAGGAAGACAAGCAAAGCAACACATTATCAAATGAGCACTCAATTACCCAAGCTTTGGAGTTTGTTAAATGTATTCAGAAGCATTTAGTGAGAGGTTATGAAGTAACTTATAAAGGTGAAGCCCAATCTGCTCTCTAATTGGGGAAAAAAGTCCACATCAACAATGAAATAGAGAGCCTAACAGCATGATTACATCAAGAATGAGTACTGACTATTGCCTACATACTAGACAATATAAAACTATCAACATTACAAAAAATTAACCACGGACTATATGCATAATTTTCCAAAATCTCTAGAATACTATTTTAATAATTGTAATTCCCAAAACTCAAAATTCTTCCAAGATTTTTACAACAGCAACAGGATGAGACTGAAACTTCAGGCCATAGTCTTGGGGGAAAAAAAGACAGTCTTACAATTGCAGTCAGACAATAGCCCCATTGCCTACAACATTAGACAATGGCAGCACAAAGGGGCGTGAAGCTTCGAATCGCAGCAGAGATGGTAAGTGGTGTGAGTGGCACAGAAAGATTCATGATAGAAATTAAAAGCACAGCATTGGGAAACATGGGTTAGGAGTTTGTACACCAAAGGGAATAATTGGAGACATTGCAAGGCAGCAGAAAGAGAAGTGTTTAAGTCTGTTAGAGCAGCCAAGGAAGAGAGTCAATGAGAGGTCATGTGAAGTTGTTATTTGGACAAAATTGGAAATTCACCATGAAGGATAACAAAGAAAAAGGTGAGCAGCCATGCAGTGGTTTATGATGGCTTATCTACTCTAACCTGGCAAAAGCTCTTCATTTTCATTTGTATATATAGAATTATAGATGATTATAACTGATGCAGCATAAAAAAAAATTAAGCTTCTGAGACCATGAAAAGAACTAAGCTGAAATCACCAATAATCACGGCAAGAACATTTCCCTGAATTAATATGATGAAACCTATTGGCATCTCTCACAATTAATTCACGACCAGTTACCATTGAGACTCTTTTTGCAAAATCATGGCAGTCTTTGCATGATCGTGTATTTTTGAATACCATAATGGGGGTCTCAGCTGCAGTGTATATGAGACCATAGGCTATAGCTAGTCTCTCACTATGATCAAGAAGCTGCTCTTTCCTTTCAGTAAAGTCACATAGAACATCCTCTTGATTGAGAAGGTGCTCCTCAACTTTCTTTAAAGAGAAACTGAGTTCTTTTAATTTTGAGTATATTTTTTCTGTCTGCGGGTGGTGTCTATCACCTACTACAAAACGGTGGACTTTACCCTTCACAATAATCCAGCTGCAGCTGACTTCCTTCCTCACGTTTCTTTCAGCCATCAGCTTTCTAAATTGGGCTGCTTCATCCCACTTCCCAGCCAAAGCATACAAGTTGAACATGATCACATAAGTAGCAGAGTCTAGTGGGTCTAGGCAAAAGATGTTGTCAGCTGCAATCATCGCAATCTCAAGATTCCTACTGCTCCAACATCCTCCTAATAAACTTTTCCAACTCATTAAATCAGGTTCAAGTGGCAGACTCCTTATCACCTCAAGAGCCTCCTGTAGCAGTCCAGCACGAGAATATATATCTATCATGCAATTGTAATGATCAATTGTTGGGTTCACACCATATTTGTCACTCATTAAATCCAAAAATTGCTTTCCCTCTTTAACTAAACCTGAATGACTACAAGCATTTAACAAACCTATGAATGTAACAGCATTTGGACTTACACCAGAACCCTGCATCCCTTTAAAAAGCCTTAAAGCTTCAGAAGCTTTGCCATGGTAGGCATGAGCACATATTATTGCAGTCCACGCAACAGTATCAGGTTTATCTATTGTCAAAAATGCTTCATGTGCATAGTCCACTTTGCCACATTTTGAGTACATAGTGATCAGAGCACTCTCCCCAGAGAGGTATGCAACTAGCCCCTTTTTTATTGCATCTGCATGAACTTGAGCACCAGAAATCAAATCTGAGACAGCAGAGCATGCTTGGAAAATGTTGGTATAGATGAATGGATTCAATAACACTTCTTTACTTCTTATTGTCTTAAAAACCTCAAGAGCCCTGTCAAATCTTCCACTCTGGCAATATCCAGCAATTAAAGCACTCCATGAGAAATCATTTGGTTCATGTATGCTCTCAAAAGCTTGACGTGCAGCTTCAAACCTTGCACACTTGACATAAAAGTCTACTAGTGGAGTTCCAACAGAGACCTCAGATTCCAAGCCAAGTTTAACACAGTAATTATGAATTTGCCTTCCAGTGTACAAGTCTCCTAAAGCAGCACAAGCCTTGAGAACTATTGAGAAGACAAACTCATCCAACTCTACACTTTCACTTATCATCCTGGCAAATAACAACAAAGCATCCTTGTGCCTAGCAGCTTGAGTATAGCCCACCATCAATCCAGTGCAAGCCACAACATTTTTCCTGGTCATATTATTGGTGGCAACTTCAGCACCGTCCAACCACCCACACTTGACATACATATTGGAGATTGACGTTTCAATAGAATCATCGGCTGCAAATCCAAACCTTATCAGCTGAGAATGTATCTGTTTGCCAAGGTATAACATTGAAGGATCCACAAATGATGCTATAAGAGTACTGAAGATAGAGGAGTTTGGCATAACTCCAAAATCCAGCATACGCATGAGCAATCTAACAGCTTCATCTATACACCCTTCCTCAATGTAAGCAGATATAATGGTGGCCCAAGAGAATAAATCCCGATCAACCATTTTATCAAGGAATCTCTCTGCATCTATGAAACTCTTGCAGTCACAATACATTTGAAGGATGCAATTATCAATGTACTTATTGCTTTTGGCCATTCTCTGCAATCTTTTATGAAATAATTTTCCATCAGTTAATGCTCTCAGCATTCCACACATTTTAAAGAGGTATTCGTAGGATCTGGGATTAATGGCAATACCCGCTTTGCCCATGCTTCCAATGAATTCATGCACTTGTGTAAGCTTCCCTTGTTTGGCTAAAGAAATCAAATGCAAGTTTTCAACTTGGCCTTGTTGACTTTGATGGGTCCTCAAGGAAGAATGACTGCTTTTCAAAGAGACCCAGGAAGGGATTTGAGCAAAATTAGTACGCCTGGCATCATTAGTTTTACGATTAGCTACCACTACTTGTGAAGAATTGGAAAGCAGCCATGAACATTGACAAGTAATTGAAGACATTAGTTTGTTAGAGATTGGAAGAATGTATCCCTGTACAACTTTGGTGAAGTCAACAAAGCCAGATTCCACACAAACCCAGCAACAAAGATATTCTATCTAATTCCTTGTGTGATGCAATCTGAAAAGAGAAAGAGGGGTTAGATAAAAGGCTTTTGCTAGCTTAGATCAAGCAAACAGAAACAGTGGTATAGTCAGTTGCAAAGCATGCAGCAAGCCATGAACAAAAGAAACCAAAAAATTAGAAAGAAAATTGAGATTTGATTGAGGTCTCGTATCAGTGTTCAGAATCATAAAATGTTTGACAAGCTTTTTTCTGATTCATAATCAAAACAAAGCACAAGTTAAATGAAAGATGAAATTTTTGACTCAAACACTAATGCTTTTTACAGTGATAAGTTAAGGATACCTCCAATAGCAAAGTTTCATTATGTTACTGCATAGGATCAACACAAACGATTTATCACAATTTCCAAGCACAAAAGCTGCATTAAGGCTTATCTTATCATATTTGTGAAAATTTTTTTGAAGTTCAGTGACTAGTGTTCATCTTATTCTCTAATTTGTGGACATTGTGCCAATCATGGATTTACTCGGATAAGTTGCCACATTTTCTCAGAGCATGTTTGAAGTTTTGGGTCCATAAAAGGAGTGTATTTGGATATACTGTGATGCCAATCGTACCATAACTCATAGCCAGAGTTTCTTACTCTTACAGCTACTGCTCTTACAAAAAGGGATTATTTTTTAAACTTGTAGATTTTACCTGATAAATTCTTCATGCACCATGCACCACACTCCAAGTTCCAACTATTTTATGATCTCTCCCATATTTTTGAGAAGCTGAAATGTGTAATTATTTTACAAATGTCAGTGACAAAATCAACGAAGTGCACTTTTGCAGCAATGCAACATCAAGATAACATTACTAGCATATGTTACTGTGAAAATGGGAGGAATTTGAATGCATTTATCAATGATTAATGGCAATGATTTTAGGAATATTATTTTGTTAGTGGTCTTAATGGGTAGTTGTAGGAATTGTACTAGTTAAACTATGCTAATACCCAGCCTAGATTATCAGTATACAAAAGAAGTGTTAGTGGTGTTTGCCTTTTCTTTTTGTTATATTTTAATGATAGTCTACTATCCTCCTTTTTTTCTTATAATGAAATTCTTGTATATAAAAGGTATTAGAGATTAGTTTTATACACATCTTTTTATCAGCGAATATACTAATAGAGCTCATTCCAACAATCAATTTAATGGTAATTTACAAAGGAAGTTCCTACAACAGCAAAATTCTCTTCAAAACAAAGAGATCTGTTTTGCTGAAATGATCACAGTATCATGTTAGTTTCACTATATATCTTAACCAATTCAAAATTCTTTTCAAATTAGAAAAAGTCAACTTAGCTTCATACACACTCAACTAGTAATATTTCACATTCCTAGTAACCATTGTAAACCATTCAGTACTTCCAATTCCAAAGAAGTACAGAGGGAAGATTTCCCACTTAAAGATTGTGAACACTTAATACCATAAAAATTGCTCAACAGTTAGGATTAAAGTCATGCGATGAAACCATACTATCTCAAGCCCATGTTCTAATAAATGAACAATCAAACCTCACAAGCTGAAAGCCAAAAGAAAAGTGACAAAGCACAAATACTATGTATTACAAAATGAAAGGCTGTAAGTTCATAGTTATCTTCTTGTACCTGCTTTGTCTGATCTTCAACATTATCAGAGATGAACTTCCCCGCCTGCATTTAAGAGCAAAACATACATTATCAGGCCACTAGAATAAATGCACAATTGCACACATATAAAGATGCTGAAAGATTGAATTGAAGAATGAACTTCATATAGATGATATCAAACCTCGGTAACAAGGCCAAGAACACCTGACACAAACAAAAGATTGTTGGCTTTGATTGCTTGAGAATATGGTCCCAATGCCGCTAGGGCCTTTTCAGTCTGACCAGCTTCCTTTATCCCTGCAATCAATGATAAAGAGATTGACAGCATCAGATTTTGATAAAGATAACAATAGCTATGCAAAGGAGTTTCATGCAAGCAACATAGTCTCTCTCCCTTTGTATCTCTCCACCAAAACACAAAAAAGCATCTCAGCTATGCCCAATACATATACTTCAGTTCAAACAAGCAGTTTTACCAAAATTAGTTTTCCAACAGAGCGCATGAAAACCGATCAAAGCGTAAATACACTTCAAGGCAGTTAAGCAGTACCCACACTGACAGATTCTAATTCTATATCGAATTGATCACAAAAACATAATGACAAATTCTACCCTCATCACTGACCTGATAAATTCATACAAAATGCAAGTATGCAACAGTATGAGTTATGATAATATAATGTCGAAATTACACATTTTACAGAGATAAATAATAGAAGAAAATAGAAGGAAAAAAATATCAGAAAACATCAAAGGAAGTAAAAACAGAGATATAAATCTTGAAATTAAATTACCAAAAAGTGGGGAAAAAAACGCAAAAGAACCCTAGATTATAGAATAAAACAGAGAGGAGAAGAAATAAATAGAGAAATTAGAGATAAACCAAAATAAACACAAACAAAAACCCTAGATAAGAAAGAAATCAAACATTAAAGAAATGCATAAACAAATTATAGAGAGACGAACCAAAAATGCATAAACGAAATGTGAGAGTGAGCTCGAGTGAGAGAGAAAGGCTCAAACAACGCCAGCAGAGAGCGTGTGATTTTAGTTTATTAAAATTCTGATTAAAATTTTAAATTCTTCTTAATAAAATATCCGAACAGAATATTTTGTCACAAAATTTTTAGAATCTTTACTTAAATTACTTTCAATTTTTTTTAAATGGTGTATGAACTATGTTTATGGATAAAAAAATTTTTGTTTACTTTATTTTTATTCTTGCAATCAGATTGATTGTTAAATTTAATGAAAAAAAGTAAAGAAAAGGTCTTAAGAAAGTAGTTAGGTGAAAGGTAAAATTAATTTAAGGTTTTAATGAGATGGGACTTTCATTATTATTCATCTGATTATAATTTATTAGAAAAATAGCTTAGATATATTTTTTATTATTTGCTTTTGTTTCTGTAAAATATTTTTTTTAAGTAATTATAATATTAATACAAAATATTCACCGAGAATAATAACTAATCTATAAAATATTTTCAATAACAAACATAATTAAAAAACATTTTTTGCAAATCAATTTTTTTTATTCTCATATATCATAATATTTTTTTTTTCTCTTTACAAATATTTATTAACTCATTAAATTATAGACTAATCTCTATTTATGTTAATATCACTACTACTATATTGACATTTATTAAGTTTTTTACAATAAAAACGCTTTCTTGATGTGCATATAAATTGGTATGTTTATTTTAAATAAAAAAAGATACACATACATTTGAGTAAAACAAGGATTTTGTTTTCACTTTTTTAATATATTTGTTTGAACTGGTTATTTAAAAATGCAATTTTTTTAAAGTTATCTCTATTTACCTCTTAAAATTTTACATTTTTTTCATAGAAAAAACACTTATTCTATAATCACTTTTTTAAATTTTAAATAAAATGAAATCTACTAATTTACATAAAAACTATAAATTCAAATCAATCACTATTATAAAACTACTTTTCCTTATATTTTTATTAGTGAAATTGTTGGGAATATGTCTAAATATTTTTAGGAGATTAAGTTAATTTTTTTATAAGAATATTTTATTTTATATTTTAAATATTTAGATTTAATCTGTTCTGATTATTTTAAAATTTATTTCCTTATTTTAAAATAGGATAATATCAATATTTAATTTTGTATAACAAATTTTTTCTATAAATAGAGACTCATGAATAAAATTATATTATGTTCCCTGATAAAAAATCTCTTATAAAATATTCCCTCAGATAAATATCATAAAATAACCACATCAGTGGTATCAGAGCCACAGGTTGGATTCGGTGACAACCAATAATCCCATAACCCCTCATAACTCATAACATATAATGTGCTATATAAAGACAAATTTCGTTGCATGAAAGGTTAGGTCCCTTGTTTGAGAGGAGGATTGTTGAGATACAAACAAGTCCCACATCAAGAAAATAACACAAAAAATAACAACTTATATAACATAAACATACTTCAATGATTAAGAGGCCTTTTGGGTAATGACCAAAAGCAAAACCGTGAGGGTTAAGGCCCAAAGCGGACAATATCTCATCATTGTGGAGTATGTTTGTGTAATAACCTCATAAAAATAACTTTCATAAAATATCCCATCAGACAAATACTATAAAATAACCCCATCATTGGTTTTTAGAGCTAAGGTTACGATCTTGGAGATGGAAGCAAAAACAAACTTTTCACAAATTTCCCCACCTATTTTTGATGAGAAAGTTATGATCTTTGGGCGGTGAGAATGGAGGCATACCTAGAAGGTTTAGATCTCTGGGAAGTTGTAGAAGAAGATTATGATGTTTCTGCATTGCCAGACAATCCTACCGTAGCCCAAATGAAAATTCACAAAGAAAAAAAAAATCAAGAAGGCAAAGGCAAAAAGCTGTCTCTTTGCCTGTGTTTCACAAAATGTTTTCACCAGAATTATGACTCTCAAATCGGCAAAAGTAATTTGGGATTATCTAAAGGAAGAATATGTTGGAGATGAAAGAATTTGAAGCATGCAAGTATTAAATTTAATGAGAGAATTTGAAATACAAAGAATGAAGGAGACTGAGACAATCAAACAATACTCAGACAAATTGCTTGACATTGCTAATAAGGTACGATTACTAGGAACGCAATTTCTTGATTCTATAATTGTTGAAAAAATTCTAGTAACTATACCTGAAAGATATGAAGCTTCAATAGTGGCTTTGGAGAATACAAAGGATCTAAGTAAGATCACTTTGGTAGAGGTGTTACATGCATTGCAAGCATTAGAACAAAAGAGGCTTGTGAGAGAAGAATGATCTATGGGGGGTGTATATTTAGCCAAATGGAAGAACAAAAATAGTGGCAAAAACAAGAAGAAAGATTTGTTTCAAGAGAACAGTCAATATAATAACACTCAAATTTTTCCACCATGTCCTTATTGCAAAAAGACTAATCATCCACAACAAAGATGTTGGTGGAGACCTGATGTAAAATGTGACGATTGCGAAAAATTAGGACACTTAAAACATGTATGCAAATCTCATGAGCAACAAGAAGAAGCCAACATTGTTGAAGATCAACAAGAAGAGGAAGAAGAAGAACTACTTTCGATGTCATGCTTTATAACCAAAAAACCCTCAAAAGCTTGAATTATTGATAGTGGTTGTACAAATCATATGACCTATGATCGAGAACTCTTCAAAGAACTCAACAAAACTGATATCTTTAAAGTTCAAATGGGAAATGGAGCACACCTCGCAGTAAAAGGCAAAGGAACACTTATTATTAAGAGTCATTCAGGTTTTAAATTAATATATGATGTTTTATACGTTCCTGATATTAACCAAAATTTGTTGAGTGTTTCTCAATTATTAGGAAAATGCTATAAATTGTTATTTGAAGATAAAAATTGTGTGATTAAAGATATACACAATAAAGAAGTGTTCAATGTTCATATGAAAGGCATAAGTTTTGCTTTAAATTTGGAGAAGGAGGAGCCAATTATAAATGAAGATACAAGTGAAGAGCACAAAGATGCATGTCTTCAAAAGAAGTTTAATGATCAAGAGGAGAATGAAGATGATGAAAAATCACCTTTAAAAGAGAAGTTCGAGACAAATGTTAAAGTGCTCCCACTGAAGAAGAATTACAACAAAAATCACAAAAAAAAGAAACCAATCAAAAAAAGAAAAGGCAGATTTTGAAACTCAAATTAGGTGATAAAAATATTCAGTCAAGGAGGAGTGTTGAGAATATGCCTAAATATCTTTAGGAGATTAAGTTAGTTTTTTTTATAAGAATATTTTATTTATATTTCAAATATTTAGATTTAATCTGTTATGATTATTTTAAGATTTATTTCCTTATTTTAGAATAAGATAATATCAATATTTGATTTTGTATAATAAATTTTCTCTATAAATAGACATTCATGAATAAAATTATATTATGTCCCTCTAATAAAAAATAACTCTTATAAAATATCCCCTCAAACAAATATCATAAAATAACCCAAAAATTACTCTCCAAAGCGGGCTAATTAACAATTTTAAATGCTCCATTCCACACAATGATGACATCGATCTTAAATTAATCAGAACCATTAACAAATGCGATTTAACCTAGCTGGATTCACCTCAAAGTTAATCCAAAATATTTAAAATTTTTTTTATAATATATCGAGGTAGAAATGGTCTTTTTTCCAATTGAAAAAGAAAAATATTGGTATGAATTATTAGCATACCTGGGATGTATGGAGGCTTCTACCAAAATGCCAAGTGGAATGGAAAAAAGGAAAAAAAAAAATATTAGATAGTCCTAAGCTATATAAATTTTTAATTAATTTTTATATAATATGTACTTAAATATTATTTATTTTAAATTTGAATTTAAATAAATATTATATAGTGATTAGTTGAAGATATAAATATTTAACAATTTTTATTAAAAAAAAAAAAAAAAAAACTCCACTCGCTCTGCTAACAACCCAACACATGGACATCTATTTTTCACATATTTATTCCATTAAATAAATGCTGACTAATCTTTCTATTGCCCCACATGTCTACATCTCAACCTTCCAAGTGTCAATCACTAAAACAGACACTCTTTTCAACATTACCATGCCTGACCTCAATCATGCATTAATACAATTAATTATATCTTATTATTAAACTAACTTCGCATATTTTGATTAAATAACTCGAAAAAATTGAAAGCATCCTAATCATAAAGTATGGTAAATATAAAAAAATGTTAATCAAACATATAATAAAAAAAATCAGGATAAATTTTTTTATATTATTATTTATTATCTCAATTTAATTATAAATTATAATTTTAATGAATCTCGCTATAGTCAAACATATTAAATTATCAATTTTATAAGATGATTAGAGAAATCACTAGCATTATTTATAATGAAAAATAAATAAATGAAAAGAGAAGATTAGCACTTGTGAAAAAGGCATGGTCCTTGGTTTGGGTTTGGGTTTGGATGTAGACTTAGAAGAAAGGGAAGATAATAAACACTACCTTTACTTCCTCCTTTCATCATCTGCCACCCACCACTACAAACTTATAGCTCCATTTCTATACTTCCAAACTTTTCCCTTTCTCTCTCCTCTCTTCCAAGAGAAACTTTCTTTTTTTCTCTTTTTTTCTTTCTGCCTCAAACCAAAACTTGGTTGTTATCATAGAGGATAACCATAAGAGAAATCAAACCCAAAAGTACATCATCAACAAGAATCATGGTTAGTTTTAGTACCAACAATCAATGCAACCCCCCACGTGTGCGTTTCTTTTTCTATTTTTTCATGTTTATTTTTCTTGTATTAATTCCTCTCTTGTTTGCTAATTAATCTTTGTTATTTGTTACTGATTATTGTATGGAATCAGGGGGGTGGAGGAGGTGCAATTGGGGTGAGAGGTCTCAATGAAGAAGAAAATAAGTGGCCATCATGGCTTAAGCCACTTCTCCAAACAAGCTTCTTTGTTCAATGCCAAGTCCACTCAGATTCCCACAAAAGTGAATGCAATATGTATTGCTTGGACTGCATGAATGGAGCCCTTTGCTCTGCTTGTCTTGCTTCTCACAAAGAACACAGAGCCATTCAGGTAAAAACTTTGGGTTAAAATTTAGTAACTAAAATTCTTGGTTGGATCCATGACTCGAATTTGATCCAATTTTGTGGGGTTTTGAACCCAAAAGATCAAATTCAAGGATTCGGATGCATGTAATCTGATTGTGTAACCTTCCTACATTATCACTTTGTTAGGATCCAAATCATCCAACCCCTTTTGATTGATCCTAAAAATATTTGTCTCTTGTATTGGTATTACCACTTACACGTGCCATCCAATGCTGAATTATCAATTCCAAAGTCAACAATGGATGGCCAGTTAAAAATTTGCCCTTTGAAATTGAATTTTCTCCCATTGAAGAATTGATTATTGTGCAATTTAAATAAATGCCGATTGGTTCATCCTACGAGATGATAGATTGAATGTTAGTTTAACATTTTGGTATTTTATTTTAGCTAGATTATATAATGTTGGTATAATCTCTGATGGCTTGTTATTGTATTCTTTATTATTTTTTCGAAGATAAGAAGATCTTCATACCATGATGTGATAAGGGTGTCGGAGATACAAAAATTTCTGGATATAACAGGGGTCCAAACTTACATTATAAACAGTGCCAAGATTGTGTTCTTGAATGAAAGACCTCAACCTAGGCCTGGGAAAGGAGTTACTAACACCTGCCAAGTCTGTGAACGCAGCCTTCTTGATTCATTCAACTTCTGTTCCCTTGGTTGCAAGGTAGTATATACATAATTGCTTTATAGTTTATACACATTTTTTTTCTTCTTTTCTTTTCTTTCTCGTCTATTTTTCTTTGTAGCAAAACTAAAGTTACATGTAATATTAGGTCTTCACACAAACAATCCAAGTTAAAGTTGCTCTAGTTTTCCAAATAGTTGTACTATTAGTAGCCCCTACTTTTTTTTATTTTTTATTTTTGGACTTTTTCCTATGTTGAAGTACCAAATCATTTTTGTTTCCCTAGAAAAAGTAACAAAAGCATAGGTGAAAAACTGAATATGAAATACATGTTTAACATAGTAATGTAATCATAACCTATTATAAATGATAAATCTGATAACTTTTATGGTAATTATTTTAAAATTATATAAATCATAATTTCTGATATCTGATTTGTTGATCGTGTAAAACTGATTAGTATGTAAATGCATACATAATTATTAAACCTTATGAATTACATGCTAAAGTTTTCAATTATTATTATTATTCTATCTCAGATAGTTGGAACCTCGAAGAAGTTCCCGAAGAAGAAAATGTTAGGTGAGAGAGATGGGTCCGATGGTGAAGAATCAATAAATGGCATAATGAATGAAAGTGCAAGAAACAAAATCCAGAGCTTCACACCGTCAACACCGCCACCAACAGTGGTAAATTACAGGACAGCTAAGAGGAGAAAGGGAGTCCCACATAGGGCTCCAATGGGGGGTGCCCTTATTATACAATACTAATAATAATGTTATATGCTATTGCTAGCTTCATGGGTTTAGGTCACTCACCAAACAATAATTATACCCACAAATATTCAACTTCCCTAAGTGGCAATATCACATCCTTAGACATAAAAGTTACAAATACCTAATACCTGAGCCTTGTTCACTTGAGGCCGGTGTTGGGTTACAAAATATAAGGGATAAAGCTGTGTCTGAACCAATTACTTTATTTGTGTTTAAATGGATTACTTTAATTTACTCTTAAATGAGCCAACTAGAAAGAAGTTGTACTTCTTAATTATACCAAAATGTATAGGAGGATAATCATAAAGGGAAAAATTATAGGTTAAAAATGAAATGAATATAGAATATATAGAATGGGAGTAATTGAATTTATGTTGGTGTAAGAATAGCAATCATGTGTTGGTATCAGATGCGCAATGTACAAAGTGGCTTGTAGAATGTAATAATGATAATGAAAATAATAATAAATAAAAGAAAAAGTGGGTTGTAGAAAGATGTTGTATTTTAGACAGTAGATGTCTTTATCATGATTATTAAAATATTCCCCTGGTTTGGTATATGTCCATCAGACTTGAAAGTGCGGTGTTGAATTGTTGAACTGGTTATGAGTGGTTTAAATTGCAGAATGTATTTGGCTTCTGTTTTTCTTTTTTTTTTTGCTTTTGATGCATGACTTCTCGTGCTTCTTTAAATAACCCTATATTAGTGTAATGTATAGAGAATCTATTTGATTAAATATTTAATGATTTTAATTGGTTCGTTTTTCTGCTCAAGTAAACACAATTTTAGTGGATATTATTTAAAAATAATCACTTATTTTTTTGAGGACTGTATGTTTGTTTGTAGAATAAATTGAAGCAATAATACATAGAATAATTGTTTGGTAAGATAAAATAAAAATAATGGAAATGCGTCCACAAAACAAGATAAGATACCGAAACTGACAATATAAGAATAATAGAGGGGCCCGCTGAAGAAAGGAGAGGCAGCTGGTTTTTTCTATAAATCCATAGTGAGCCACCGAGCTGCCCACTATCCTTCGGTATGTGTGGCACCCTACCACTCTTAGACTATACATATATAATTAAATCAAGCCATGAATATTACATTAACAAAAAAGTTCACTAAGATTAAAAATAATCAAAATATAAGAAATAAATCAGTCAATATAAAACAAAAATTAATAACAAATGATAAATTCGAGACCATGGTTCAAAATATGTATTTAGAAAGAGAATATCTTTGAAGTCGGAAATGTGAATCTATCATTTAATTATGTAGGTTTACTTATATATATTTAGAGAGATGGAGCATATATTATGAGAATGTATTTTGGTATGAGAATGAAAGTATTTGATTTTAATTCTTAAATTAAAATATTAAATCATGTATTGATATTGTTATAATTGTCTTTTTTAAAATTTAAATTCTAATTTTAAGTATAGAATAAATTATATTAGGATAATGATATTCATTTTACATGCGTTCATAGTCTCGTTCATGATTTCTAAGAGGTTAACCTTTTCATCAAAGATTAATAATATGATAAGATTATAAAAAATACTTTAATTTTTTATCACGAGACACACTTTAGAAGAAAATTGTAATTTTTTATAATTTATAAATCAATAATTTTATTTTTCATCTTTTTTTGTTCTTGTTAAAAATGATGAGAATAGATGTTTATTGTTTTTTTTTTATAATAAGAATAAAAATTGAAAATTAAATTTTCTCTTTTACCTCTTAAACTTTCTAATTGTCATTATCAATTTTATCAATATTAGTGCATATGATTTGATATGAAATATTATCTTCACATTTTGTATAAAAATTAAATGATAAATAAGAAAAGTAAAATTGGTACATTATGATTTTATTTTATAAATTAATAAAATTAACTAATATAACATAATTATATTAATCTCTATTATTCACTTAAAAATGACTTATAATGAGGACTAAATGGAATAATTTATTAAAAATCTTTAAACTTCATTACTTATTGTTATTTTCATCGATGAATATATGTTAATAAGACACAACTTAGATATAATAATAAGAATGAGTATCAAACTAGTTGAGTTGAGTTTATCTCTATTTTTATCTAGCCTAAAATTTTGATAAAGATATTTACTTAAACATCTGAATTGATTTAAAAAGTTATGAAAATAAATTGGGTTAACTCAATATTTTAGTATGATATATTAATATTAACATTATGCATAGTTAAATTATAAAATAAAAAATGTAAAATTTAAATTAAGATATATTTTATAATATATTTAAAATAAAACAATATTGTTGTAAATATAATAACATGTTTATATAAAGTGTTAATTATTAAATAAAATATTATTATTAATATACAATTGTTTATATAAAATTATTTTTTTAAAAGAACATAGGACATTAACTTGGACTATGATGACTCAAAAGATATCCTAAAACTGTTTTTAAAAATCTATTGAATCTAATTTTAAAATCTGAATTCATCTAATCCTCTTTGGAACAGGTTGGGTCACTGAGGTAGATCAAAATTTTCTCACCCATACATGATACTATAGGTGCTTTTATTGTTGTTTTTTTAATCAAAATTAAAAATTTATCTTAATAATATACACTGTCATTCAATAAAATCGTTTATTAAACAAATTACTAATTAGAAAACAACACTTATAATAATAATTCATGTGAGTTTTATCAATGTTAATAGGATTAGTATTACTTAGGTCACATATTACATAAGATCAGGGATGACAAATAAACTCATATCCGTGAGTAATATTTGAATCCGTCCCGACTTTGACAGAGAATACCTTATTTAACCGAGTATGAGTACGGGTACGGGTATAACCCGATAAAATTAACCTGGGTACGGGTACAGATATGGTATATACATACCCGCCTCGTACCATACCTGTACCCGTACCTAATTTAATTACATTAAAAAAATTTAATATTTTATTATGTGTAATTATTTATTATAATATGAAATATTTATAATTGTGTAATTATTAAGAAATTTCTTGATTAAAATATGAGATAAAGAAATAATATAATTATAATTATAATATAATAAAAAATAATTTAAAAAATATTATATATTTTTTTTGTAAAAAAAATAATTTTTTACAAGTACGGATACGAGTATACCCAATATCTAACAGGAACGGGAATGAAAATAAAAATTACATACTCGACGGATCGGGAGAACAGGACAGATATCATAAAGTACATTGCCATCCTTACATGTGATGCTTGTAAAAAGTTATTCATGAATTGTAGCTCTAGGATTAATTTTTTTTTATAAATTTATTTATTTTTACATTACAGTGATTTAGCCAAACACGGTAGAGGCAGTGATGGCAAAATCGCGGCTGAGAAGGTTTTGCTTCTCTCTCTCTCTTAAACCCTAAAGCAGGGTTTTTGTGTGGTGTTGTGATTATGAAGAAGAGAGAGTTGAAGACTCTTCTCTCTCACACTCTCCAATTCCTCCACCTCCGATCCCTCTCCACCTCCGATCTCTCCCAACACTACGCATTCCTCCGCGACGCCCTCAATTCCGCCCCCAAAACCCTCCCCTCCCCCAGCGACGCCGTTTCCATCTCCAACGCAATCCGCGCCGGCTTCGGCCACGAAACCCTAAACTTCCTCCGCCAGTTCCGCGGCAGGTTGAGCGAGTCCCTCGTCGTCGAGGTAATGAATGACGTGAAACGCCCCGAGTTATGCGTCCCCTTTTTCCTCTGGGCGAGTCGCCAAATCGGTTACACCCACACTCCAATGGTGTACAATGCGCTAATTGAGTTACTCTCTTGCAATGGCCACGACAGAGTGCCCGACGCGTTTTTGATGCAAATTAGGGCTGATGACAGGGATTTGCTTCGGAAGCTGCTCAATGTTCTTATTCAGAAGTGTTGTCGAAAAGGGTTGTGGAATGTGGCGTTGGAAGAGTTGGGGAGGCTCAAGGATTTTGGGTACAAGCCTTCTCCCACCACTTATAATGCTTTGGTTCAGGTTTTTCTTAGGGCTGATAAGTTGGATAGTGCTTATTTGGTTCAGAAAGAGATGTCGAGTTCTGGATTTGGCATGGATGGGTATACTCTGAGTTGTTTCGCGTATTCGCTTTGCAAAGCTGGGAGGTGCGGCGAGGCGCTGAGTATGATTGAGAAGGAGGAGTTTGTGCCTGATACGGTTTTCTACAATAGGATGATTTCCGGGTTGTGCGAAGCTTCGCTTTTTGAAGAAGCTATGGATGTCTTGAATCGAATGCGGGCGAATTCGTGTGTTCCCAATGTTGTTACTTATCGGATTTTGCTCTCTGGTTGCTTGGGGAAAGGGCAGCTTGGCAGGTGTAAGAGAATTCTTGGCATGATGATCACAGAAGGGTGTTATCCGAATCGTGAGATGTTTAATGCTCTTGTACATGGTTATTGTAAATCGAGGGATTACTCTTATGCCTATAAGTTGTTTAGGAAGATGGTTAAATGTGGGTGCCAGCCTGGATATCTGGTTTATAATATATTCATTGGTAGTATATGTAGCAATGAGGAGCTACCTGGCTCGGACGTGTTGGAATTGGCTGAAAAGGCTTACAGTGAGATGCTTGATTCGGGGGTTGTTTTGAATAAGGTCAATGTCAGCAACCTTGCGCGGTGTCTTTGTGGAGCTGGAAAGTTTGATAAAGCCTTTAAGATTATATGTGAAATGATGAGCAAGGGTTTTGTTCCTGATGATAGTACATATTCTAAAGTGATTGGTTTCCTTTGTGATGCCTCCAAGGTAGAGAAGGCTTTTTTGTTGTTTGAAGAAATGAAAAAGAATGGCGTTGTTCCCAGTGTTTATACTTATACTATTTTAATCGATAGCTTTTGCAAAGCTGGTCTCATTCAACAGGCTCGCAAATGGTTTGAGGAGATGTTGAGAGATGGTTGCACCCCGAATGTGGTGACTTATACTGCTCTTATTCATGCATACCTGAAAGCTAGAAAGGTGTTAGATGCAAATAAACTATTTGAGATGATGTTGCTTGAAGGTTGCAAGCCTAATGTTATTACATATACAGCTTTAATTGATGGTCATTGCAAGGCTGGCCATATTGATAAAGCTTGCCAGATCTATGCCAGAATGCAAGGTGACGTAGAATCCTCTGACATTGACATGTATTTTAAGCTAGATGACAACTGTGAAACACCAAATATTATTACATATGGGGCTTTGGTGGATGGTTTATGCAAAGCAATCAGGGTTAAAGAAGCCCGTGAATTGTTGGATACCATGTCAATTCATGGTTGTGAGCCTAACCAAATAGTGTATGATGCTCTTATAGATGGGTTTTGTAAGACTGGAAAGCTTGACGATGCACAAGAGGTGTTTGTAAAGATGTCAGGATGTGGATACAGTCCAAATTTGTATACCTACAGCTCTTTAATCAATAGTCTGTTTAAAGACAAAAGATTGGATCTTGTTTTGAAAGTGTTGTCCAAGATGCTGGAGAATTCATGCACTCCCAATGTTGTTATTTACACAGAGATGATTGATGGCCTCTGTAAAGTTGGAAAGACAGATGAAGCTTACAAGCTGATGCTTAAAATGGAAGAAGTGGGTTGTTATCCAAATGTTATAACTTATACTGCAATGATTGATGGCTTTGGGAAATTAGGAAAAATTGAACAATGCATTGAACTATATAGAGATATGTGCTCAAAGGGTTGTGCGCCAAACTTTATAACCTATAGGGTCTTGATAAATCATTGTTGTTCCACTGGCTTTCTTGATGAAGCAAACAGACTTCTAGATGAAATGAAACAAACATATTGGCCAAGGCATATATCAAGTCACCGTAAAATTATTGAGGGCTTTAACCGGGAGTTTATAACCTCAATTGGGCTTTTAGATGAGCTGAGCGAAAATGAATCAGTGCCAGTTGATTCTTTATACAGAATTTTGATTGATAATTTTATCAAGGCTGGAAGACTGGAAGTTGCCTTGAATCTACTTGAAGAGATTTCATCATCTCCAAGCCTAGCAATTGCCAACAAATATCTATATACTTCTTTAATTGAGAGTCTGTCACATGCAAGTAAGGTTGATAAAGCCTTTGAGCTTTACGCAAGCATGATAAATAAAAATGTTGTTCCAGAGCTTAGCACATTTGTCCACCTCATAAAAGGCCTTACCAGGGTTGGTAAGTGGCAAGAAGCACTACAATTATCAGACAGCTTATGCCAAATGGTTTGTCTCACTTGCTCTAACTCTTTGAAGCACAACACAACACATAAATTTTCCACGAAATTTTGCCAAGTTATTGTAAATATGTTAACATTAGGAACTTACTTTATGCATTTAGTGGTAAAATAAATCTGCTGAACTTCCACGTCATTCCTTACTGAACTGCTCAGTTAATGTACTAGATCCTTCAGTTATTATTTTGGCATGTTTATTCTGACTCCTTTTCTTTTGTATTTTCTATCAACATTGCAGGATATATGCTGGCTTCATGAAGAGGCAACCAACGTGAATTAGATTTCTGATGTACAGAATTGCAGATTGGATGTGAGTTATGTAACTAAAGGAAAATGAATATAGGTAGGATAGAAGAAATGGTTAAGCTGGTAAGAGGCTGCTCTCTCATAATCTCTAATATATTATGATGCCTTTCATTTATGATTATTAATCTTCATTTGCAGATGTGGGTTTTTTCAGTTCAGGTAAAAACAACAGCGATAATGGAAGCAGAAACATGGAATGTTGAAGAAATCTCAAAATGATGTTCTTTGTAATCCATTAATCTTCAAGTTCCAAAATGACGTGTATTTGTCCACCTATCATCACATCATGCCACAGGTAATGATTTTATAATCTATGATCAAGCATATTGCATACTAATTGATTCCAAGGTATATAAAAATTAAACCTCTCGCCTTGATTTCTTTCGGGGTAAATTATATCTCAATAATGTTTTTGTTATTTGCCAATAGTCTAGAAAGAGAAAAAAAAAATTATATCAAGTGTTACACACTCGCATTTTTTTGGCCATTTTGCAATCAATGGGCATGTTCACCTAATGGAGGTTTTTCCTCCTATCATTTGCAAACAGAGCTTCAGTGTTGGTTTCAAAAATCTATTTGTGGTCAGGCATTTGCATGCCTGATTCATTTTTCGATACATGAATAGGCTATTATTTGTTTTTGCTTTTCCTGTTTTGCCATTTTACCATTTGATAAATTAGAAATTCTGTGAAATTTAAGAATACAGAATGCCAAGTCATTTACAACTTTTGTTGCACTAACCATTCATGTGCCCCATTATATTAGCAAATATGCTTACTGTTTTTTTTTCTTCTTTTCTTCAAATTTGTTATGTTCTGGGTTTAATTTTGAAACTGGTAAAATTTAAAGATAAAGTCATCTTCATCTGGTATATTTATTGTCTGTTTTTGAAGTTGAGACAAATAATCATCTGTTTTTTACTATGAAGTAGCCTGGCAGCTAAGGAATCAGCTTTTGGGGCATATTTGAGGAGCAAGGAGTTTGGGAAGTATATCCTTGGTTCAATTTTTCTTTTATTCGAGAGACTGGCCATTAGAAGGAATGCAAAATGTTCTAGTATTGTGCTCTTCTTGTAGAGTATATGGTATCTGCATGCGAACTTGCAAGGGTTAGAGTCAACACTCTTTTTTGCAAGGCATGGTATGTATTGGTGAAATTGGTTATCATTGAAAAAATAGCCTCCCCACTCACTCTGTACACCTGAAAGCTCTGGACATAACCATGAGGGGAGGATCATTATGCACCAAGCTGCCCTTTTGTTTTGTGGACGAATATCGATAGATTACGACGCCAGGTTTTTTTAATTAGAAGGCGTCATCTCTCTCATCTTTGTTGCGAGAGTTGTTTTCTTCCCTTTTATTTCCCTTTGGCTGTCTTAGGAGGACGACTTCTTATTCTCCGTTTTGGCCCTCTCAACAAATGATGATATCCAAAGAGATGAATGTGTCAAGAAAATGATTTAGAATAGGATCAAAGGCGCAATGTTGCTTCACTTTGGGATATGTCTAGTGCACTGAGGCTTCCTTGGAAGCTTGAGGCAGAGACAATCACATCATGTTTTATTGATAATGGAGTGCTCAGGCTAGTTCACTATTCACATCATGATTTCGAATGGGGTTCTAGCTTTAGCCAATTTAGAGACTAGAGTGTACTAATAACTCCTTGAAATGTTTTCTGGGGCTTTTTCCTCTACTCTAGACTGGGCGGTTTGCAGTCACTGAACCCTTCACCATTAGTCATGAGCTGATCTGTGTATGTACTACCATTGTAATTCATTCTATATAAATACATATGAGGATCCTACTCCACACATGTTCTGCATTCGTCTCTGTCTTCCTACAAAAAATTCTGTAATAAATATGTGGTTCTGCAAAATTCATTTGGAGAGGCGTGCTTCTCCAATTTCTCAATAATTTTACCACCTATCGCTTCACTTCTAAAATACGTGCTCTTTATCTATGTTTATCTCATTTATCTTTTCGCATGTGATTTGCTTTTTGAGAGATATATTAATATTCTATCCATATATAAATAAAGAATGATACATTAATTTTAAATGATTATTGTTGGACATTGTCTCATGAGAGGTGGTGAGTTTTGTTGCAAACTAAAAAAATGTACATCATTGAAGGCATCTTAAACGTGTTTCTAACTAATCAATATGTATCTCCTAAAAATGCTAATCAATATGTATTTCACCCGAGAAATGATACTAAACATGTTTTGCATGACATGACGCATCAAATAAGTATGTGAAAGCATTTCGGTGGAGATTTTACGATAGATAATAAGATAAATTAGAAATACATCATGCAAAGTAAGGATGTGCAAGTATTAATAACCAAATGATTCCGATGAAATAAAAGCCCACCAAATTAGTAAGTTATTTTGGGTGGCTTTTATTTCATCATACTCATTTAGTTTATTAATATTTGGCACATCTTAACAAAAGTTTAAAATAATAATTCTAATCACTATATATATATATATATATATCAATAAAAAATAATTTTCTATTTTACAAACAGTTCACTTTTTCACTCTTTTATTCTCGTTTAAATATAATTCTTTGATTTCTTATATCTTATATATATTTTTTATACTAAATGAAAGATCTATCAAACAAATAGTTACTGAATATTAAAATTAAATGTGTATTTATCGTTAAAATTTAAATATTATATATATATATATATATATATATATTTTATCAATTTCTTTTTTTTTTTATTTTTTATTTTTTTG